TTGGAAAAAAAGGATGCTAAGCGGACATGACAGCCACGGTTAAATATTTGAAAGCATGTCACATTGAGGAGAGGGCAAGTTTGTTTTCTTTGCTTCAAAGACTAGGACACAGAGCAGTGGATTCAAATTGCAGGAAAAAATGTTCCTCCTAAACATTAGGAAGAAGTTGATTGCGAGCACTGTTAGGCAGAGGAATATGTTGCTTTGGAGCATGGTGAAGTCCCCTTCTCTGAAGGTTTTTAAGCACAGGCTGGATGGCCATCTGTTGGGAGTGTTTTGATTATGTGTTCATGCATGGCAAGGGGTTGGACTGGATGGCCTTTGTGGTCTCTTCCAACTATGATTCTATGGCCCATTCCACACATCTGTATAAAATCCGTGCTGAATTGGATTATATGGCAGGTTGGACTCATAATCCAGTTCAAAGCAGATATTATGGATTATCTGCCTTGATATTCTGGGCTATATGGCTGTGTGGAAGGGCCCTATGATTCTAAGTGCTTGCCCTAATGTGCTAAATGGTGGGACCTGTCGTGGAAGAAAGCACTCAATTTGACACAAATGAGAGTGTGGCATTTATTCCAGTTTGATTTCTTCCTTTGTTTAAATATTTTATTTTCTTTATGCTGCCTTTGGACCAGATCAGTTGCTGTAAAGATGGTTGGTAATCTCCCCCGACAGCTAGATAAGGGGGGAAACACCCATGTGTTTTATCAATTTCTGCTTTGCCCATTTGTTACAGGGCACATTTCTGCTGGGGAGGAAGCTTGTGCCGTATCTCTTTTCATCTTCCCTGCCGACTAAAAGGGCCAAATGACTGTACACCTAGGATCAATTGCTAATTTGCATCTCATTTGCACCTTATGAAAAGGCATATTTCATCAGCGGCGAACAAATAAGGCAATCAAAGCAGGCACACAGAATTAAAGCCTTTCTTCTTTTGCTGTGATGTTTTCTTGGAGGGGGAGAAGTTCCCCATCAACATGGGAGGCTATTGTTGTTGTTATTGTTGTGTTCCCTCCTATTGAATCTTATTACAGTGATCCTGTCCTAGAGTTTTCTTGGCTAGATCTATTCAGAGGAGGTTTGTTCTTGCCGCTAAATGGTGGAGCCTAAGAGAATGTCCTGCCCAAGGTCATCCAATATGTTTCCATGGCTGGGCAGGGATTTGAATTGCGCTATCCCAAAACTACATTTGGAGGAGATATTTCAGAAGTGCAACAAAAATGGATAGGGTTAAAGTCCTTCTTCATCCCTTCTCTGATTCAATTAGTTGTGATAAGCCCTCCCTCCACTGCAAGTTGATGCAATTTGCATTTCATAAAGCCTGCATCTTAAATGCAAATCTATGCTGAGTATCATGTCTAGCTTGGCTGTAGCCTCTCACATTTTCTTCTTTCTTGTTAGTGGTGTCATGCACATATCCCCCATTCTTCTGATTTCTACTGCATTAGATCACAGTGCCCATCCAATGCCATGGACACTCTATAAGCTGCAGACACCTAGATCTCTCTACAAACACCTGAAGCAGCCTGTTTTATCCATCCTTTTGGGTATTTATTTATCATATTTATTTATCGTATCAGGAGTGAAGCAAGCAGTTGTATTGTATTTTAAAAACAAAAAAACCAAACAAAAAACTCATAAAGTTTGCAAACTTGGCATCATATTAAATGTCCTTTGACCAGTAGCTGACCACTTGGAGTGCCTCTGGTGTTGCTATAAGAAGGTCCTCCATTGTGCATGTGGCAGGGCTCAGGATGCATTGTAATAGGTGGTCTGTGGTTTGCTCTTCTCCGCACTCGCATGTCGTGGACTCCACTTTGTAGCCCCATTTCTTAAGGTTGTTTCTGCATCTTGTGTTGCCAGAGTGCAGTTTGTTCAGTGCCTTCCAAGTCACCCATTTTTCTGTGTACCCAGGAGGGAGTCTCTCATTTGGTATCAGCCATTGATTGAGGTTCTGGGTTTCAGCCTGCCACTTTTGGACTCTCACTTGCTGAGGTGTTCCAGCGAGTGTCTCTGTACATCTTAGAAAACTATTTCTTGATTTAAGTCGTTGGTGTAAAAATGGCAAAGCAGCTTGTCTGGATGATCTATGGATGGAACAAATTAAGAACTTTGGTCCAAAAGCAAGGTGCTGGCTGCTGGAGCTGATGAACAACTGCACTGCATCCTGTCAGATCTCCAAAATCTGGAAGAAAGCAAGAGTCACAGCCATCTTGAAACCAAGCAAAGACGACAATGATCCAATAAGCTATAGACCAATCTCCTTGTTGTGCCATCTTTACACAGTTCTTATTGAGACTTATTTTGCATAGAATTATGGGGAAAAAATAGATCCATGCCTGATTCCACAGCAAGCTGGCTTCAGGAAAGGCAAAAGCTGCACATCACAAGTGCTGAACCTGACAGCACATAGAAGATGGCTTTGAGAGGCAGCAGATCACAGGAGATGCCTTCATAGACCTGTCAGCAGCTTATGATACTGTACAATCACAAAGGATTACCACCCCACATGCCTCATAGGAAATCTGCTACAAAACAGGAGCTTTTTTGTTGAGTTCCAGCGCCAAAGAAGCAGATGGCGAAAACAGAACAGCCTGCCTCAGTGGAGCATGCTTGCTCTATCAATGTTCAATATTTACACAAACAATCCTTTTAGATGAATCCACATTGTTGAATTAATACAGTTTGACACCACTTTAACTGCCCTGGCTCAATGCTATAGAATCCTGAGGTTTGTTTGTTTGTTTGGGGTTTTTTGTTTGTTTGTTTGTTAAGGCACCAGCACTCTTTGGCAGAGAAGCCTAAAGATCTTGAAAACTACAACTCTCATGATTCCATAGCAGTAGCCATGGCAGTTAAAAGTGGTGTCAAACTGCATTAATTTGACACTGTAGATGCACTGTTGAATTACACACAGAGAGTCTTATATGGATGCACATTCCCCATATTCCTGTTAATCCAACCAAAGGAATCTATCCTCACCTCTCTGGTCATTTTCGTCCCAAGCTCAGATAGGATTCTGGTATTTATATTTGACCACAGCAAGAACGATAGTTTTGTGATGTGATAATTCACTGTTTATACAGAGTGGAGGGGAGTGATGGGGGAGAAGGAGAACACAGTGTCCTTATGTTATTAGGATCCAATCTTCTTTTAAAGGATACCAGTGCATGCAGTAAAAGCAGTTCCAATAGGATGGTGTATGTAGCAATGTACTTTATTCCAGCCTCTGATACATTCAAGGTTCTTCTGATGTGTCAGATTTCCAAGTTCCTTATTCCCAACTAACCATCCAGAAGTCAATAGGTAGAATAGTCCTAACATATACAGTGGGATCTGGATTGAAACAGATGATCCATTTTTTTTGTTTCTTTGTCCTTTCTTTGCCCACCAGAACTCTGGAAGTGATATACAGCAAAAACAACTAGTTCTGTGCAACTGTAATGCTTTTTGCCCAGGAAGCAAGGAGTTTTGTGCAAACAAAATTTTGCAAAACACACACATATTTAAAAGTCCTGGAAAATACACCTCTCACGAAAACACAATAAACCTATCATTCACGAGGGAGAAAACTTTTGAAATTAATGAAGATCTTGTTAATTAATGAAAATCTATAACTTTTTTCTCAGCAATATTGTGTTATGATGATGTTTATGATTATGTTATGTTTTTATTATTTTTATTTGATGATTTTAATTGTGCCTTGTCTTATTTGTAATGTTTTTGCTTGTCCCTTTGTAAGCTGCCCCAAGTCCCCTAGGGGAGATGGTGGCGGGGTATAACAATAAAATTATTATTATTATTATTATTATTATTTTATGCTGTCATCTTTTCAGCATATGGTGAATCTATGTGAAGGGGGTTTCTCGGCAAGATCTGTAAAGAGGGGGTTTGCCTTTGCTGACCTCTCAGGCTGAGAGAGTGGGACTTGCTCAAGATTACCTAGTGGGTTTCATGGCTGAGCAGGGATTTGAACTCTAGTCTCCAGAGTCATGATCCAATGCTCAAACCACAGTGCCCTGGTGGCTACATCCCTAATGAAAATACACATATGTGCATGCAAACCCATCATGGATATACTCCTGCTAATTATCAAACACAACTCTATGCAGCTTATGTAACAGAGAGTGAGCAGAAACCTGCAAGTAGTGTTGGACTGCCACACTCATCAGTCCTGGTCAGAGAAGGCCTGCTGCGTGACTGTGGAAATTGTAATCCTATTATGTCTGGATATTCAGTTATGTAGCGCTGGTTGAGTAATACTGGGAATTCTCACACATCTGGAGAGACACAGTTTGGTACAGTCTTATTGTGTAGATTCTGCTTTGCAAAATCTGTTTAGAGCCAAGATCCCTAAACTAAGGAATGTGGGCCAGATGTGGCCCTCCAAGGTAATTTACCCAGCCCTTGCTCTAAACTTTAGACTTAGGGTCGCACAAAGTCTGAAACAACTTGAAGGGAAACAACAACAACAATCCTAATTAATGTGACTATCTCATTAGCCAAAACAGGTTTGTACTTTCCATTGAAATGCTGATAAGTTTATGTTGGTTCAAATTGTTCTTCATTTTAAACATTGTATTGTTTGTTCATGTTTCTTTGCACTATAAAATGAGATGTGTGCAGTGTGTATGGGAATTTGTTCATGTTTATTTCAAATATAGTCCCCGTCCCCATCCCCCCAATGGTCTGACGGACTGTGAACAGGCCCTCAGCTCAAAACGTTTGCAGACCTCTGGTTTAGAGGATGCTTCTGTTTCAGGATTTATCACTTTAACTGTCATGGCTCATGGGAGTTGTAATTTTACCAGGTCTTTTGTCTTTTCTGCCAAATTGTGCTGGTACCTCATCGAGCTACAAATCTCTTTATTCCACAGTATTGGGCCATAGCAGTTAAGTGCTGTCAAGCTGCTATAATTCTACAGTGTAGATGCACCATCTGCCTTCTTCAAGAACATTCACAATGTACAATGTACCTTCTTTTTCCTCCCCAGTCTCGCGTCTGAACAGCCTGGATGCAGCTGTCCACCGTCTCAACGTACAGTTCTACCACATGGACTTGAAAGTTTCCCAGTTCTCCCAAGGCCTGGCTGAACTGAAGGGTGGCCTGGCTGAGACCCGCGAATCCCTCGCCTCCTTGAATGAAGTCGCCACACGCAACCAGAAAGAGCTTGGACGCATTGATGGTGAGGAAAGGAGGATGGGGTTGGCTTAGATCAGTGGTTCTCAACCTGTGGGTCCCCTCATGTTTTGGCCTCCAACTCCCAGAAATCCAAACAGCTGATAAACTGGTTGGGATTTCTGAGAGTTGTAGGCCAAAACACCTGGGGATCCACAGGTTGAAAACCACTGGCCTAGATGATGGCGGAAGAAGATAATACGACGCCTGCTTGGAAGGATGGAGATAGAGCTGCAAAGTTGTGCTTACTGGCTCTCTAGACTCAGTAGTTTTTGAGGTGCTATGCATGTTATGGTTGCTGACAGAGAGGAGAAGAGTGGGAAGAGAATGGACCACTAAGTCAGAAGGCTCTGGAGTCAGCAGTGGAGGATTGGTGTGGTTTACAGCTCTGCATGTGGCTGATGACGCCTCCATCCTTTTTTAAAAAAATAAAAAATCAAAGTATGAAAAAATTACCTTTTGAACAACAGTTCTAAGAATCCCAGTCAACATAGTTAGGGGATTCTGGGAGTTGTACTCTAGTAAATATTTTCATCTTCCCAGCTTTACTAAATAACTACTTTCCTGATTGCTCATCCAGGGCTGTGTCTACACTTTCCTGATAAATAGGGGTTAAAGCACTACATATGGTAAGAGTACCTACAGAGCCCTTTGATGGTCACATGGCTGGCCAAGCCAAAGACACCACATTTCCACCAGGAAGTAGTTCCCTTGCAGAGTGTTGCTGTCAATGTGGCATTTCTGGTTACATGCTTTGGTGCCTTGGTGAGATAGAATCATAGAGTTGGAAAAGACCACAAGGGTCATCCAGTCCAACCCCCTGCCATGTAGGAACACATAATCAAAGTATTTCCAACAGATGACCATCCAACCTCTGCTTCAGAGAAGAGGACTTGCTGTTATCCAAAAAGTCTCTGCCATAGAGCTGTTTGATGGTGACGAACTAATGGTAGGTCCACTGGCGGTATGGACATTGGAGTAGGGTGGATGCAACCAGATCCATCTACCCACATCTCCAGAACTCCTGGGAAATCCAGTGTAAATCCCACCTTCCACTGACTCATCTTAATGGCTGGATGCAGTGTGTCTGTTGTGAATCCAACCATGTGTGGTGTATTGACTCCCTGTAGCAGCTAAGCACTGAGTCCACTTTATTTTGGTCATCTAGAGATGGTCCAGGTGACCATCTTATAAAGCCTCAACCAAGTGGAAGATGGTCACTTCTTTTTTTCGTTTTACTGTTTTGAATTCCTAAACTAGAAGACGTGATCCGATGTATTAACCACAGCAACTACAAATACGGCAGACAGCACCCCACAGTAATTAGATATGCAGCAAAGCATGTACCAATTTAGGTGTTACTTTTGTCTTCTTTTTCATCTAGCGGAGTTCATGAACTTCAGTTGCAGTGATTTCTGCAAATACAGATATTTCGAGATGTGCTCTCAAGATGACAGAAGTTGCTGCTGCTGAAAGTGTTCATTGTTCATATGTTACACTGCTCAAATGAGAAGAATAGAATGGGAAAAAAGCAATGTCTCTAACAAATTCACTCTTGAACAGTTTATTAGACTGAAAGATAAAGCAGAAGAGCCATTTAAAGAGAAGTTGCTTGCTCAAAAGCAGAGGAGTCTGAGGGACAGAAGGATAGAGGCTTGGAAAGAGAGGTTGCTGGGGAAGATAATTTGGGTTGAGTTCATATTTTTTCAGAGAGAGGAAATCGATACATCAGGGGATAAGGTTCTGTGAGGCTGAAGAGGGAAAGCTGCTCAGCATTCATTCTCAGCCTCCAAAATTTAAATCAAGGATCAAATGACCTTGAAATAAGGGCATCAAACTCTCTATAATGCTTTTCAGATGAAGCAATTACTGCAGCAGAAATGGGGAACACGTGGACCTCCAGATGTGGTTTGACTGAGTCCTCTTCAATACTGCCATATAAAATCCAGTTTATCTGTGTTGAACTGGATTATATGGCAGCGTAGACTCTTATAATCCAGTTTTAAAGATAATGTGGAGCAGTGTAGAAGGGGCTGAAACCAGCATAACGAGCAATGAGATGTGAAAGAGCTTCAACTTTGAAATATCATTTACATCAGCAGGTTTTCATTGCCAGGCTCCCATCCTAGTACTAACCAGAACTAACCTTGCTTTGCTTCCAAAGATCAGGCAGAATTGGTGCCTTTATAAGAATTCCCATAAATACCTAGATTTCCTCATGTAAATATGTGGTGTGGGGGAGTTTCTTCAGCCCTAATATAGACCAGAGATAGCAAAAGCATGGGTCTTTGGATACTATGGGACTGTAAATGCCATAACCCCTTACCAGTGATTATATTGGTGAGGACAGGTAGGAGTTCCAGTATAACCACCACCAAGAGGGCTGGAAGTCTCCCATCTCTGACCTAGAGCAGACTTTCTTTTTCCTTCTTCTTGCCACCCCTTTTCACCTAATAAATGTTTATGTGACCCCAGCTGTATAGGCATTTTATATATAGGCGTATTTTTATGTGTATATAAGCATATAAAATAGGCATTGTAGGCATTATATATCAGTATATAAAATAGGTATACAAATCAAACATTTACTGAACCTAAATAAAAAAGATATTTATTTTAAAACATGTGATACATATCATTTTACCATTGACCAAAGATGAAAGCAAATTTGCATACTGATGTGATGGATGTACTTGTTCATTTTGACATGAAGAGTTAAATTTTGTCTGAATATTTGATAGTGCAGGGTGTGAAGCATCTTCCACATTTTTCATGCCATGCTGGTTTGCAGCCTCGTGTGGCAGAATATACTTTGTTGGCTCTCAATATTTTCTCCTGGATTCATGTGAATGTCTAAAACAGCAACTAGGTCACAAGCTACACATATTTTTCATGACCCTGAGATTCAATTCAGGGACCCCAAATGTGGATACTACTCACAGTTTAAGAAGCTTTGCCCTAGAGCATTGCTCCATTTCAGGATGGATCTACAGGGCCATATAATGCAGTTTCAGAATGCAGATTAGCTTCATTGAACTGGATTATGTGGCAGTCAGGTCCGTAGCCAGGATTTTGATTTGGGGGAGCTGAGTTTGATTCGGGGCGGGGGGGGGGCTGAGTCTGAGTGAAAGAGGGTCTACCCTAGCAAACCTTTTGCATCGTTACCCCAATACCCCCATGCATATGGGATATATTGAGCATGGTGATCAGATCATGATATGAATAAACATAACAGTTTAAATGATGTACCAGTAAGGCCTTCTCGTGGACCACCATGAGAATTTCAGGGGGGGGGGGCTGAAGCCCCTCAAGCCCCCCCCCCAGCTACATGTCTGGTGGCAGTATAAAGTAAAGATAAAGGCTTCCCCTGACAGTAAGTCTAGTCGTGTCTGGTTCTGGGAGGTGGTGCTCATCTCCATTTCTAAGCTGAAGAGCCAGCGTTATCAGTAGACACCTCCAAGATCATTCCCCAGCATGACTGCATGGAGCACCATTACCTTCCCACAGAAACAATATCTATGGATCTACTCACATTTGCATGTTTTCGAATTGCTAAGTTGGCAGAAGCTGGGGCTAACAGCAGGAACTCATTCCACTCCCTGGATTCGAACTGTCAACCTTTCAGTCAGCAAGTTCAGCAGCTCAGCGGTTTTACCCGCTGTGCCATCTGGGGGCTACTTGTGGCAGTGTAGACTCATATAATCCAGTTCAAAGCAGATGATACTGATTAACTGTTTTGATATGACATTGTAGAAGGGACCTCAGGCTAATCTGTTTCCTATTGCACATTATGTGGCTGTGTAGATGGGGCTTCAGTCTTGTGTATGTATGTGTATTCGTATATGCTGCATGAGTACCCCCTTGTATATTGTGGAATGGTTGCCAAAGTGCTCTTTTTTCCATTGGGGAGGAGAGAGTAAAAAGGGCCCCGCTTTCCACAGAGACAAAACAGATGTGGCCTGGCAGATTTGTAGTCTGATCTCTTTTGAACTTAATAAATAAGTAAGTAAATAAATAAATAGAACAAATCTTTCAAGCAGCTGCGAGGAGTGTGATGCTTTCCTTTTGAAGCAATGGTTCTGGTACAGTGTTCATGCTCTTAACTCATTCCCCGCATGCCCATTTTCCTGGTCCTGTGAAAATTACCTTTTGGGGGCTTTTTTATTTATTGTGTCAGGAGCAAATTGAGGGTACCGTTATAGTATATTTAAAAACACGAACAAAGTTAAAAACTTAGCATTATGCTAAATGCCCTTTGACCAGAATCAGGCCACTTGGAGTGCCTCTGGTATCGCTGTAAGAAGGTCCTCCATTGTGCATGTGGCAGGGCTCAGGTTACATTGTAGTAAGTGGTCTGTGATTTGCTCTTTTCCACATTCACATGTCATGGATTCTACTTTGTAACACCATTTCTTAAGATTAGCTCTGCATCTCGTGGTCCCAGAGTACAGCCTGTCCAACGCCTTCCAGGTCGCCCAGTCTTCTGTGTGCCCAAGAGGAAGTCAAACAGAGGATGGGCCGGAGATGCTGGAGATGTCAATGCTTTGGTCCTTTCGTTACAGGCTGCTTCTTCCTGATGGATGTTTATACCGGCTAAACAGTATAATTTCTCCAGCAGTGTTGGGTGTAGACATCTTGTGATAATGCAGCATGTTTCATTAAAAGCCACATTCACTATTTTAATGTGGAGAGATGTATTTTAGGAGATACGACTCCCGGAATCCATCTATTAGACTGGGAGTTGAGGTCCAAACCACCTGCATACTCCCCAAAAATAAAATCACACTTCCAAGTCCAGAATTCCTCTGCTTAGCAGCAGACTAGATCTACGCTGCCATATAATGCCATTTCATAAGGGAAATTATAAGCATGGAACTGGGTTATATGAATCTATACTGTATTTCTAGGTACAAAGATTACTGCAGACGCAGACTGCAGCCAGGAAATCAGAATGTGTTTAATTCTTGGGAGGAGAGCAATGACCAATCTCGATAAAATAGTGAAGAGTAGAGACATCATACTGGCAATGAAGATCCGCATAGTTAAAGCAATGGTATTCCCCGTAGTAACCTACGAATGTGAGAGCTGGACCATAAGGAAGGCTGCGCAAATGAAGATAAACGCTTTTGAACTGTGGTGTTGGAGGAAAATTCTGAGAGTGCTTTGAACCGCAAGAAGATCAAACCAGTACATACTCCAGGAAGTAAAGCCCGATTGCTCACTGGAGGGAAGGATATTAGAGGCAAAGATGAAGTACTTTGGCCACACAAGAAGACAGGAAAGCTTAGAGAAGACAATGATGCTTGGGAAAATGGAAGGAAAAAGGAAGAGGGGCCGACCAAGGGCAAGATGGATGGTATCCTTGAAGTGACTGGCTTGACTCTGAAGGAGCTGGGGGTGGTGACGGCCGACAGGAAGCTCTGGTGTGGGCTGGTCCATGAGGTCACGAAGAGTCGGAAGCAACTGAACGAGTAAACAACAACAATACTGCCATGTCATGCAGTAGTCTGCATTCTGAAACTGCATTTAATAGCAGTGTAGATTCAGCCTTTCAGTTTCACTAGCGGCGACTATTTATTCCTCATAATAACATTTTTTTAAAAAAAACTTATACAGTTTGTGTGTATGTGCCATATTTAAGTACGTACTATCTTCACAGTGGATAATAGAGTTTGTAGTCCAGCACATCCATTGGATGCTTGATGGGGGAAGTCAGGCTGGGCTGGGAGGAAACAGCAATGGAGGAAATCCTAGTCGCTATTTCAAATATGTATCAGGCGCATCGATCCCATCTCCCTCATCACTGCTGGTTTTGCCTCTCAGCTTGCAAGGGAAGAAGCTGTTAAGAAAATGGGAGGCCATGCTGAGAGCTCAATTGGGTTCCTGGAAAGCTGTTGAATCCCTCCCTTCTTTAGGGAAAGCTCAGAGCTGTGCGCTTTTAAGCCTGAGGAGTCGTAGTGGAGGGATCCTTTTGGAAGGAGCCAGGATTTTGTACTGTGTGCATGGCAGAAGGAGCTAAAAGATCAAGGGTATTTAAAGTCAACACCCGAGCTTGGCTTGCAATGGGAGAAAAATGAAAGGGTTTTACAGTGAGAGAAATATTAGTCACCTCGTAGAGTCAGACCCTTGGTCCGTGTAGCTCAGTATAACAGCTCTCCAAGGCGTCAGAAAGTATTGTTTTTCCAGCCCCAAAACAATAGGCTTTGCATCTACATGCAAAGCATGTACGCTGAGCTATAGCCCTACTCCCAGTCTAGTGCTATCCAGATATTTGAAGAAATAGCTTCCAAATAATTCCTAGTTAACACAGCCCATGGGAATTATTGGTGATATGGTCCAGAACAGCTGAAAGGCACCAGGCTAAAAAGCATTGAAGTAGACAGCCCCTATTTTGCAGCCCCATTGCAGAAGGGCACTGGAAGTGGTATCACATTGCAGTTTTTGTTGGATTTTTGATTGAAAACAAGTGTGTAGGGATTGGAGCGGAATCCTGCCATCTTGCTTTTGCAATGTAAATCACCTCTAAATTGGCCTAAACATTTTTGTGGGATTTTTGTGGGATTTAGGAGACAACTGAGCTGCTGAGCTTGCTGACTGAACGGTCAGTGGTTCGAATCCGGGGAGCTGGATGAGCTCCTGCTGTTAGCCCCAGCTTCTGCCAACCTAGTAGTTAGAAAACATGCAAATTTGAGTAGATCAATAGGTACCGTCTCGACGGGAAGGTAATGGCTTTCTATGCAGTCATGCTAGCCACATGACCTAGGAGGTATCTACGGACAATGTCAGCTCTTCAGTTTAGAAATGGAGATCAGCACCACCCCCCAGAGTCAGACACAAGTAGACGTAACATCAGGGGAAACCTTTACCTTTACTATTACTTTGAGGGCACAAAAGTGGGGAATCATCCAACTCATAGACTGTATTCCCCACCCATCTCTGAGGCTGGATCTACACTGCCATATAATCCAGATTATCAAAGCAGATAATTCACAATATCTGCTTTGAACTGGATCATATGAGTCTATACTGCCTTATAATGAAGATCAAACTAGATAATTTGTATTTTATATGGCAGTGTAGATTCAGCCTGAGACAAGAAGTCAGTTGCTTCTTCTGTAATGAATTTGAGGTTGTATGTTTCTTGGGGTACAGAAACTGTGCACCTCCAGATATTAGGGAACATCACCTCTCATCAATCTTCGCCAGCAAAGCTGGCAGTCCTGATGGGAGCTGTAATTCAGTATGATCTATAGGGTTGCATGTTCACCATCCTTGTCTTGTTAGTTAAAATATTCTACTTTGTCAATAGTTCTCTGGCCACAGAGAACTATTTAGCTTGCAGTTTGGAAAAGTTATTTCTGGATTTCAGGTCCCAGAATCCATAAGTCAGCATGGCCAGTGGCTGCTTGTAGTTCATAAAGTAAATTATTGTTTCTCAAGCAAACCTCAAGCATGTGGATAGTTACACAGTTTGCGGTTTTGACTTTTGTGGATATCATTGTTCACAGATTTGATTAAAAATGTTATATCCAGGAAACTCGGGATCCTGCAGTGTAATTCTGTCATCAACTTCTTTAAGTCACACTGGAGGATCTAGACCTTTCTATGAATGTCTAGGGCAGTGTTTTTCAACCTGAGGGCTGGAGCCCTGGAGGGGTCACAAAAGACCATCAGAAAACAGTACTCTGGGCGAGGTCAGAGTACTCTTTGATTATAGGTTAACTAGAAATCCCAGCAACTACAGCTCCCAAATGACAAAATCAACCCCCTCAACCCCACCAATATTCAGATTTGGACACATCGGATATTTGTGCCAAATTTGGTCCAGTGAATGAAAATATATTCTTCATATCATATATTTACATTATAATTCACAACAGTAGAAAAATTACAGTTATGAAATAGAAATGAAAATAATTTTATGGTTGGGGTCACCACAACATGAGGAACTGTATTAAGGTGTTGCAGCATTAGGAAGGTTGAGAACCACTGGTTTAGGGCCTCTTCTAGATTATCTGATTTGAACTGAATTATATGGCAGTGTAGACTCGTATAATCCAGTTCAAAGCATATAATGTGGATTATATGGCAGTGTAGAAGGGGCCCCGGTCTTCCAATGCAATTTTGTGGCCAGCTTCCAATGAAAGCTGGCAACAAAGTCCTGTTGGAACATGTAGAAATTTTTTAGAGGTTTTTTTTTTAACAAAAACCAATTTTGCTATTTCCAGTTTTTCACTTTCAAAGGGGCCTTGTGCCCCTACCTTCAGTGAATGAGGAGGCCTGGCTGTCATTAACAAAATGTATAATAGACATCACTTTCCTCTCTGTGCCTTCCCAGGTTGCTTGCGGGGCCGACGCACTCAGACCAAATGCTTCCTGATCTTCAAGAACTTTGAAGTCTACGATGCGGCCCAAAAACTCTGTGAAGTCAGAGGAGGCCACCTGGCAATGCCTGCTGATGCCACCGAGCTGGCTGTCCTCCGCCGCTACCTCCATGATGCCTTCCAACCCTACAACTGGCCAGCCTGGGTGGGCATCCACGACCGCCGTTCTGAAGGGCTGTGGCTCTTTGAGAACGGGCATCGTGTCTCCGTCTTTGACTGGTACCGCGACCACTTAGTGACTCAACCCAATGGTGGTGCTCGTGAGAACTGTGTCTCCCTCAGCTCAGATGATGGGAAATGGTGGGACAATGACTGTGAGCGACGCATGTATTACATCTGCGAGTATCGTCTTTAGGGATGGAGGCAACTGCTTTTGGTCAGGTTCAGGCCCTCGTGTGCTTCATTGAATGGATGCCCTTCCATTACCAGTATAATGATGATTAGCCCATCTAATCATCTAAGCAGTGATTGGCTACAACTTCTGGGAGGCAGTAGATTTGCCCATTTTTTGCATGTATGTATGAGTGCCTATTTCTTCTTCCAATGCATTCTAATATTCTACCCCAGTGGAGAGGAATACACATCCCTCTAGGTGCTATTAGAATTCATTTTCCACCTGCCCATTGTGTCTAAAATAGAACATCATGGTTATCTCCATAGCATGTGGAGAGCAACTTTCTTTGTTCCATGCAAAGATTATGGGAGTTGTAATCCAACTAAACCTGGAGAGTTGCACATTCCCGATCTCTGCCCTATCTAAAGGCACATGCAGCTGCAAGTGGTCTTGTTTTGTTGTCTTATTTTAGGGAGGAGGAACCTGTGGCTTTCCAGAGTTTGGAGGATTTCAGCTCCGATCAGACTAAGCCAAGCTAGCCAATAGTAAGGCATGATGGGAGTTCAGCAATATCTGGAGGGTTACTCTCCCTCCATTCCTATCTAAAAGTGCATTGTGATCCTCATAACCACAGAATTCATATCTGTGGTTTCATATACAAATGCCTTGGAAAAAATTGTCTCTATAGGAATTTGCTAGGTCTTCCAGGTGATTCAATGGTATGCTCAATGGTATGCTGTCCCAGAAGTTACACTGGAGGACTTAGCAAATTCCTAGAGAGATCATGATATGCTGAACCAAAAGGAAGATAACTGAATGATGTTTGTCATACACATAGTTCAGATAACTGCAGACTGACAGGGAATATACTCCCTGCATATATGGGGATCGTACCATATCCCACTTATTTGGTAACCCTTCTGACCACAAAGTTAAGTTGTATTTAGCACAGACCTTGGAAAAGTTGTTTTTTAGAATACAAGTCTCAGAATCTTTCATCAGCATGGCCATTGGTTATCTTGACTGATGGATTCTGGGTCTTGTAGTCCATAAGAGTGGCTTTTCCAAGCTGTGATCAAGTCCCCTTCCAATAGGAAGATATACCCCCCACAGTTGCAAGCAAAGAATAATTCAGTTCCACAGGGCTTTGCTTTTTCTGTTGCCTGGTGATGCTCGCAGTACTCACACGGTTTAACAGGATCTATCTGGAACCAAATTACCCAAAAGCGATTTAATGCACTTCAAAGCTCCAGAACCTGTTGTTTAGACCCCGTGGGGACCCTGCAGTCTGTTTCATATTGGACTGTATGATGAGGCTAAGGTCCACATAGAGAATTAGTTTTGCTGCAGAGAAAACACCATTATCCTTCTCCAAACCAAGGGCAAAACGGGACTTGCGTGCCTCATTTCTTTCCAGTATGTATCTAGCATTGAGTCAGTCTGGGATCCCTAAACAGATTGGAGCTGTGATGTAACGAGGAGAATTTTAATCTGTGCCTCTGTCTGCTAATGATAATCAGTCTCCATGAAAGCCAGAGCATGGAAGAGTCCCAGTTTTGGACTACAAATCCCAGAATACCAGAGGACACTTCTGGATATCATAGTCCGAAAAGAGCTCGGGCTACAAACAGTTGTACTGGGGAAAATTTAAGTGTAATACAGTTGTTTTGAAATAAGAAACATTCAAGATAAGTCTTCTGAGGATCCCTCACATCACTTAGAATCATAGAGCTGGAAGAGACCTCATGAGCCATCCAGTTCAACCTCCTGCCAAGAAGCAGGAAAATTACATTCAAAGTACCTCTGATAGATGGCCATCCAGCCTCTATTTAAAAACCTCCAAAGAAGGAGCCTCCACCACACTCCAGGGCAGAGAGTTCCACTGCTAAACAGCTCTCACAGTGAGGAAGTTCTTCCTAATGTTAGGTGGAATCTCCTTTTCTGTAGTTTGAAGCCATTGTTCTGCGTCCTAGTCTCCAGGGCAGTAGAAAACAAGCATGCTCCCTCCTCTCTATGACTTCCTCTCACATGCTGTATTTATACATGGCCATCATGTCTCCTCTCAGCCTTCTCTTCTTCAGGCTAAACATGCCCAGCTCTTTAAGCTGCTCCTCATAGGGCTTGTTCTCCAGGCCCTTGATCATTTTAATTGCCCTCCCCTGGACCCATTCCAGCTTGTCAACATCTTCCTTCAAGTATGATTCCAGATGTGGTCTGACCAAAACTGAATAGAGGAGTAGCATGACTTCCCTGGATTTAGACACTATACTCCTATTTCTGCAGGCCAAAATCCCATTGGCCTTTTAGCTGCTGCATGTTACTGTGGGCTCATGTTCACCTTCCTGTCCACGAGGATTCCCAATATCTTTTTCACATGTACTGCTATCAAGCCATGCATCCCATTCTGTATCTTTGCATTTCATTTTTTTCTGCCTGAGTGGAGAGTATCTTACATTTATCCCTGTTGAAATTCATTTTGTTAATTTTGGCCCTTCTCTCTAATCTGTTAAGATCTTTTTGAATTCTGCTCTTGCCTTCTGGAATATTAGCTATCCCTCCCAATTTGGTGTTGTCTGCAAACTTGATGATCATGCCTTCTAACATTAAGATGATCATGCCTTCCACATTAAGGAAACATATGGTTTTAATTCTAAGATGCTTTTTTTTATTTTATGGACCCTTTCAGAAATCCTATCATGTAGAAAACTGATGGACATCTTGTCCCCTGAACACCACAAGGTTTAAAAAAATCTACTCTCCCCCTTATATAGACAAATATGCAGGGAATTCATATGTTTCTCTCCTGGATGATTATCCCCTTTTTTAAACCCTTAAGAGACAAGGCTGACTTAGTACAGCATTTAGGGCAGGGCTGGGAAGTATGTGTCTCCTTGATGTTGTTAGATTGCAGCTCCCATCATCCAATGGGCCATCCTGGCTAGGACTGATAGTAGTTGTGGTCCAACCACATGTATAGGGTTGCAGATTGCCCACTCCACTTTAGGTTTTCAGGCTAGCATGTAAGCAGTCTTGTGTTGCTGGCCAGCACAGGGCAGATTCGCCTTCCTTCTCACATTGCCAAATAAAGTTTAGAAAAAACCGTGAATTGTAATTAATACTGTGTGTGGATTTTTCTCACTCGAACCAAAGCCCATGGATTGCTAAAACCACCTTGTCAGGGTTAAAATGGCTTAAGGAAATCTGAATACATCTTGGGACTCAGTGGGCAATACAGTGAGCCAGCATGGTGTAGTGGCTTGAGTATTGGACTACATTTCTGGAGATAAGAGTTCCATGAAACTCACTTTGGGTGAATGACACACATTCTCAGCCTCAGGGAATGGGAGATCTCTTCCGAACAAATCTTTCCAAGAACACCCTATTGGGGATCAAGGGTCGCAGGGTTTGAGAGGAGTATTCTTTGAGTTTGTCTGATGCTTTAGGCAGGTAAAGAGTCAAGCAGACTTCTTTCAGAATAACAATGTTTGTTTACTTATAACTCCATATATTTTATGATACAGGCACATTTCTTTTGAGGGTTAAAAACTTCAAAAACGTTTGGAGAGTTTGTATCTTAAAACTTATAAACTTTAACTGTTTCTTCATGAACTATGTTGCTTTATACCAGTGGTTCTTAACCTGTGGGCCGCAGACCACCAGTGGGCCACAAGGACAAACATTTTGGTCTGTGAGCCTCCATCCTTTTTATTTTATTTTATTTCCACTCCTTTCCCGCCGGCTGCCACTCCTTCCTTGTTGCAGACCCTCCTCACCACCTTGGATAGACCATATCAGCTCTTGATTATTAAATATGGTCACTACTGGATGGCATATGTTCTGTATCAGAAACTAGAGCTGTTGTAGTCTATCCAATGCAGTTTTCTGAATTGGCACCCCAAATAACCAAACCGAATCTAAGATAAAGGTAAAGGTTTTCCCCTGACATAAAGTCCAGTCGTGTCCAACTCTGGGGGTTGGTGCTCATCTCCATTTCTAAGCCAAAGAGCCAGCGTTGTCCATAGATGTCTCCAAAGTCATGTGGACAGCATGGAGCACCGTTACCTTCCCACCGGAGTGGTCCCTACTGATTGTGTGTTTGTGAACTGCTAGGTTGGCAGAAGCTGGGGGTCTAACAGTGGTAGCTCACCCTGCTCCCCAGATTCGAACCTGTGACCTAGCAATCAGCTCAGAGGTTTAATCCATTGCACCACCACCGAAACTAAAGTTGACCAAAAACTGATTTGTAATCCTTTTGGTACTAATGTTGGTAAATGGTCCCTAGTCAAAAAAATCAGAGCTCAACTGACATTTCTAACTTCAACAGACATTTCTGTTCAAACCCAAGCATTCTAAACTTCCACTGAGGGCCCTTCTGCACAGCCCTAGTCCCAGAATATCAAGGCAGGAAATCCCACATTATCTGAGTATGGACTCAGCTAAGTCAGTTCAAAGTAGATATTGTGGGATTTTCGGCCTTGATATTCTGGGATATAGGGCTGTGCGGAAGGGCCCTGAGTCAAGTGACCTGCATCTCCTCCCACTGGTTTAGGTACATAAAGCCATGGTAGCTGCAAACTATAAATAAGACATATACTTCAGGTGATAAAACAACACATTACAAAAAACAGACAAATATTCTATATAAATAAAAATGTAATGTTCGTTTGTGGGATTAACATAACTCAAAAGCCACTGTATGAATTGACACCAAATTTGGACACAAGACACCTATGAAGCCAACAAGTGACCATCACTCATAAAAACACTGAAAAACACAATAGAAGAGACTTAAAAAGCCAAAAAATAAAAAAATGCATTACAACGCATACACAAAACCACTTATATACACATATACACAAACATATACACACATACACACACACATAAGACACATGTATATATACACACACATACACACAGACTGGGCCACAGCAACGCGTGGCAGGGGACGGCTACTCTATATAAATAAAAATGCAATGTTCATTTCTGGGATTGACATAACTCAAAAACCACTGGGCAAATTGACACCAAATTTGGCCACAAGACACCTACTAACCCAAGGAGTGACCATCACTCAAAAAATTGATTTTGTCATTTGGGAGTTGTAGTTGCTGGGACTTATAGTTCAGAGCATTCTGAATTACACCAATGCTGAATTACACCAATGCTGGAATTGAACCAAACACGGCACACAGGACTCCCATGACCAACATGCGCATTGATGAGCATTGACCTTGAGTTTGGGGATTGTAGTTCACCTACATCCAGAGAGTGCTGTGGACCAAACTTGGCACGAATATTCCATATCCCCAAATATGCAGACAAATTGAGTTTGGGGGAAATAGACCTTGACATTGGGAGTTGTAGTTACTGGGATTTATAGTTCACCTACAATTAAAGAGCATTTTGAACCCCACCAATGACAGAATTGGAGCAAACTTCCCACACAGAACCCACATGTCCAACAGAAAATACTTAAGGCCATCCAGTCCACCTCCCTTCAGCAGGGTAAGAAAACATCAACAAAGCCCTCCAGCCATAGCTATAGATAGATATGATTCACACACACAGAGATATAATATCATAGATTTGAAAGGGACCCCTAAAGAAGGACAATTCTGTGTTCCCTGTTCCAGAATAGGCAAACCAAACAATCTCCACATCAACACTGACAAAGAAACAGCAAGAAATCCCGTTTACCGCAAGCATAAAGAAATTACATATATTAGAAACCAACACTTTCTAATTACTTCATTTTCCAGATCACCAGGCTGGGCCACACAACGCGTGGCAGGGGACAGCTAGTATATAATAAAAATGTAATGTTCGTTTGTGGGATTCACATAACTCAAAAACCGCTGGACTAATTGACACCAAATTTGGATACAAGACACCTATGAGGCCAACGAGTGACCATCACTCAAAAAATTGATTTTGTCATTTGAGAGTTGTAGTTGTTGCGATTTATAGTTAACCTACAATCAAACAGCATTCTGAACTCCACCAGAATTTGGTGGGCATTGACCTTGAGTTTGGGAGCTGAAGTTAACATCTATCTAAAGAGCACTGTGGACTCAAACAATGTTGGATCTGGACCACACCTGGCACGAATATTCCATATGCCCAAACACAAATGGAGTTTGGGGGACATAGTCCTTGACATTTGGGATTTGTAGTTACTGGGATTCACAGTTCACCTACAATCAAAGAGCATTCTGAATCCCATGAATGACAAAATTGGGGCAAATTTTCCACACAGAACCCCCATGACCAACAGAAAATACTTAAGGCTATCCAGTCCAACTCCTTTCACCAGGGCAAGAAAATGTAATCAAAGCCCTCCTGACAGCCATCCAGCCATAGATATAGATAGACAGATATGATTAACACACACAGAGAGAGATATATAGTATCCTAGATTTGAAAGGGACCCCTAAAACAGAACATGTTGCCTGTTCCAGAGAAGGCAAACCAGACAATCTCTACATCAACACTGACAAAGAAACAGCAAGAAATACTCATTACCCAGAAGCAGAAAGAAATTACATATATTAGAAACCAACAATTTCATGTTACTTTATTTTCCAGATCACCAGACTGGGCCACAGCAACGCGTGGCAGGAGACAACTAGTCTATATATTCGTTGTGGGATTAACATAACTCAAAAACCCCTTGACAAATTGACACCAAATTTGGACACAGTACATCTATCAGGTTAACGAGTGACCATCACTCATAAAAACTCTGAAAAACACAGCAGAAGGGACTTAAAAGTAAAAAAAAACAACCAAAAAGATACTACAGCGCATGCGCAAAAGTGGCTCCCCCCTGGCAAACAACACACACAATAGCATATCCACACTCTCTTACTGGTGTTAAGTACCATTTCTAAACTATATATTAAGAAATTGAAAAAAAAAACAGAGAAAGATGCAATAGATAACATGTTAACTGCAGCAAGATTACTGATAGCGAAGAATTGGAAAGGTAAAATAAACATATCAATTGAAGAATGGTATAAAGAACTATGGAAAATAGCAATAAACGATAAATTGACATGTAGGTTAAGAGTCAGGAAAGGGGTATGGAAGGAAAATGTCTTTGATGAAGTTTGGGGAAATTTATTGAGAATGGCTTAAAAGAACTAGATGGGAAATTACCTCCACAAGAAGAAATTGTATTTTGGAAAGAGAATGCAAATTGAAGTGGTTCGGGGGGGGGGGGGGGGGGGGGGGGGTTGAGAGGGGGGTGTGGCTTGGAGGTAAAATAATACAAGAATATACATCTATGGTTGATGTAACGAATTGAGGATGGAATATAAGAGTATTGAAGTATTGATGTATCGATGTATTCCAAGAAAACCAATAATTTATTTTTTTTTAAAAAGAAATGTATTGAAACAGCTATGGATCAGGGCAGGAGGCAGACTGCGTAGGATAATAGACCGTTAGATGAGCGAAGGTTGGATTAAAGAGACTCTATGTAATTTTATAAACTGAAGTATATTTCGATGTGTAGTTTGCATGTGTCTAAACCAGTGGGAGGAACTGCAGGTCACGTGACTAACTCCATGACAATTTAGATTGTGGTTCTCAACCTGGGGTCCCCAGGTGTTTTTGGCCTACAACTCCCAGAAATCCCAGCTAGTTTACCAGCTGTTAGGATTTCTGGGAGTTGAAGGCCAAAAACATCTGGGAACCCCACGTTGAGAACCACTGGAATGTTCAGGTTTGAACAGAAATGTCAGCTGGGTTTCAAAATGTCAGTTTGAGCTCTGAGCCTGTTAGAGAATGTCAGTTGAGTTTGGAGTCAGCTTGAGTGTAGAAGCCTTTTAGTGTGCAGAAGCTAATGCTAGAAGCTAGTAAATGGTTGAGGCTTGCGTTTCCTTTGAAAGTAAACTCTTCTTAAAGAGAACTGTGTAAAGCAACATAGTTCATGAAGAAAGTTAAATTTTTGACGTTTTTAACCCTGAAAAGAAATGTGCCTGTATCATTAAATACATGGAGTTATAAGTCAACAAACATTGTTATTTTAAAAGAAGTCTGCTTGAACTCTTTGCCTGCCTAAAGCATCAAATAAACTCAAATCCCTCAGGCAGGACTAGGATCTTTAGATCAGTTGGCTTCATTTTGGTTTTTACTAAAACTTCAAGATCTATCATCTCGAACCAGCAGTAAAAGGTCTGCATTAAACACCAGATTGCCTCTGAACCTAGATTGTTTCCAGCACTAGAAATGAACTGAGAACCCAGCCCCTTTACACAAATGATCTCCTGACTAAGGCAAATTCATCTCTTTTATTGTCGCCATTGTTGTACAACCGAGAGTCGGAAATCCTTGTTGACCTACTGCATATTCCTCCCTGGAAACCTACATGCCTACCCCGAGGCGTTAATCTTCTGTTATTTTCTGGTAGATAAATCTCGATGCAGCTGCCCTATTCCCCTGTCCTTACCCTTAATTAAAACCAGAAGCAGATTTTTCTTAAAATAAAGCATTTTTATTTTCTTGTTGAAGCACTGATTTGAGGTTACAACACAAAAGCCCCCCAAAAGCTTGCAGTCTTGGAGTAGGGTGGGGTCCCGCTCCTATCATGTAGGGGGTGATAATATTGGGGATGATTCTGTTCCTATTTTCCATTACATTTCTTCATCTTTTACCTTATAGGTTTTAATTTTCCAGTGACATGCAAACAAGGGGAAGATGGGGGGGGGGGGGGGATGTATATGAAGGAGGAGACTCTGGGAAAAGGAACACAAAGAGTGTCAAACAGTGGCTAATGCTTCTTTGGTTTCTTGTCGCCTTACTGGCCCAGAGTGGTAAAGTCAGGATGGCCAAAGAATATCCCAGATTTCCAAGAAGAGCCTGATGTCACCATAACTTTTTGGAGTGGTTTCTTGAGTACGGTACTTTAGGGCATGGTAGTGGAGAAGAAATGAAGACAGAGACATTCATCCCATTCACAAGGAGAATCTGGAAAAGGGGATTGCTATTGGGTTGTTGTAGGTTTTATGGGCTATATGGCCATGTTCTAGAAGCATTCTCTCCTGACGTTTTGCCTGCATCTATGGCAGGCATCCTCCTCTGAAAAACCTACAGCAACCCAGTGATTCTGGCCATGAAGTCTTTGACAATACATTTCATTTTCTCTCTCATCAACCCTTATCCCAAAGGACAAGAACAGTATGATGTTTGTATGCTTTCCTGGGTCTTTCAATGTTGAATGATCAGTACTCTTCTTAACCAGAGGTCATATTTTTTTAGGAAAGGGAGTATGAGGAACATTCAAATTTAACATGGAAAACCATACCTCTGCCTTCTATAATATAATGAATAATTATATTCATTATATTATAGAACCACTTGGAGTATTCCATGCTGTTTTTTCCTCCCTTGAAGATGAGCTCCAATGGCCCTCCCACACTATTTCTGCTGCTTCTTCAATTCTTATACAGACTTCTGTTCCTCTAGGCTGCCACCTCTTCTGTGTAGTCAGAGCTCCACCTATCCGCTTGCACATATGAAGTACACCAGCCCTGCATCTATTCCTCCATATCCTCCCCTGCCTCATCTGTGGACCATTCCTGTCCTCAAATGCTCTCGTCTTCCATTCCTTTCCAAAACCATCCCTGTCCTATGCAGTGTGCAGACACTTTCAAACAAAGGAATAACGGATGGCTGTAATATACACACCATGCATATATTAACTCTCTCTGTTATGTTCACCCTGCTCCCTTGCACATATGGAATATTCCTGCACTTCAAGCTTCACATCCCTTTCACCTAATCATATCATAAGCTCTTTTTCTCCTCAGCCTCCCCTTCTGTATGGAAGATGGACCATTCTACTTCTCCAAAATGACTACTAGCTGATAAGGCTTCATCCCCCCCCTGCCCCCCGCTTCCAGGTTATTTTGACATAAGGAAATTACTCCCACTGCTGGGTTCAGGGAAGACTAAATCCAAAATACACAGACCATGCCTCTCTTTCAGACGTAATTATTTCGAATGCTTAGAAAAGTAACTTTTTTGAACTACAAGTCCCACAGTTATGTCGTCTGGGGGGATTCTTGTTGTAGTCTGAAAAAAAAAAGATTTCCGAAACCCTTGCCATTTTCTTAGAAGGGGAAAAAAGACTCTCCATTTTTATTCTGTATGTCCTTTGTGTGTGTTTGGGGTACAAGTGGCTAAAGAGTCTCTTGGCAGATATGCTGAAGGCTTTGCCCACCTGGCATTGGCAAGTCTTCATACAGCATGGCTCGGTTGCCATGGAGGAAGACCAGCATGTCCACATGCTCCGATGTCAGGGCTCTGCGCTTTGCACAGATGGCATCGCCAGCATTGCTGAAGAGCCAACCGGCAGGGACGGAGGTAGCAGGGACACCAAGCAGCTTGCGGGCCGCCTGGGCCAGCAGTGGGTACTGAGTGTGGTGTGTCTTCCACCATTGTAATGGCTCCTGGCCAAGGGCAGAGGCCTTGCTGGTTTGGAAGCTGGCTGTCTCTTGCTCTGCCTGCTGATGAGCAGAACTGATACCTGCAGCACTGCGCATGCTGTACAGGTCTCCCAGCAGGAACTCGATGCCAGTGTCCTGCTTGGGCAACTTTGCAGGCGGGGAGGAAGAGGTGGCATCAGGCAGGCCAGCAGTCAGTCCTGGGGACGCCTCAGCCAGGCACAATGATTCCGTCTTGAGCAAGTGCAGTGTTTCCACCCGGTCAGTATGGCTCAGGAAATCGAGGCCACGGAAGCGAGGGTCCAAAGCACAGGCCAGATTGAGGGCCTGGTTGACGTCCAAATTGGAGAACTGTTGGTTCAGCTCTTTTTGGGCTGCTGCTTTGGATTCCAGGGCTAGGGCCGAATCCCATTCACTGGCTACCAAGTGCTTGTAAAGGAGGCTGGTTAGCACAGGTTTGACAAGGGACAGGCTGGAGAAAGGATCTTTGGTAAATGTTGAGGTAGCAATGGCCATGGGTTTGAGGACTTTGACAGTATCCTGAAGGGCGGCCCAGTCCTGAGGACGCAGGGTTGCTTCCCCATCTGGGCCAAGCCCCGCCAGAGGTTCACTGTGCTCCAGCAGGCCCTGCAAGATTGCATAGGCACTGTGCCATTTGCCTCCGTCTCGCAGGAAGCGGCTGAGGTGAGTCTGCAGGAGTGGCTCCTGCATCCACAGTTTCTCAGATCGCCCTGCCCCAGTGACAGCCCAGGAGGCCAAGCGGTGAAGCCGCTCTAATGCCCTTTGTACTGCTGGCTGACCCAGCACAGCTTCCATGGCCGCTCGCAAGGCCTGCCCGATGCAAGGCAGAGCCGTCCAGCCAAGAGCTGCTGTGGCTTCTTGCATGGCGGTTCCTCTGAAGCCTCCCACTATGTATGAGGTACTGTCACGTACCCCCCACTCCTTACTTGCCTCAGCAAGGGCCTCAACCAAGCTTTCAGTGCTGGGCTCCTCAGGGATGGGGTGGCTCGAAAGGACCCATGTGCGGGGTTCAAAGCAGTCATCCACATAGTGTACAGTGAGTGTGAGGTAGGTGAGGTTGCTGCTATGGCACCATATGTCCAGGCTGAGGGAGCACTGGGGCAGGACCTGCACCAACTCCCAGATTTTCCCCTTTACTTGGGTGTACATGTCCTTCAGCACAGTATGAGCCAGGGAGGAAGCATTGGGGGGCTTGTAGCTGGGATCTAAGACGCCCAGCATCTGCCCAAAACCTTCCCCTTCCACCACTTCCACAGGCATTAGGTCCAGCACAATAAAATCAGCCACAGCCCGTGTGGTCCTGCCAGGTATGGGAGTCCGGGAAGGTCCAAACTCACCCATCCCCACCATCCTTTTATCAAGAGTGGTGGTCTGAGTGCCCACCAGTTGGTTGTATTCACAACGGTGCTTGTAGATGAGATGCTGCCGCAAGTTGGTGGTGTTGCCACTGTAGCTCAGCCGGACCCCGCAGAGCTTGCAAATTATCTTACTCTTGTCGAGGATGCGGCCATAAGCATCTCCCTGGAAGCCAAAGAAGGTCCAGTAGCGGCTTTGGGCCCTTCCCAACCCCACCAGATTCTGTGTCCCTTCCAGCATGGGAAAGGTGTTTCCTCCTGGTGGTGGAAGGCCTGGCTTGTGGAGGGGTAGGGCTGAGGCAGTGGCATCCCCACACAGGTACTGCGTCCGTGAGGAAGGGGCATAGGACACAGGTGGGGAGGATGGGGTCTTCAGGTAAAGCTCTTGGAAGAGTTTCATCAACAGCTCCTTCTCGCCAAACTCATATTTAAAGTGCTCACCTAGGAGGAGAGAGAGCAACACATGCATGAGAGGCATCACAATACCTTAATATTGTTTATGCTGGCTGGTTCTGTTAGGAGCTGTAGGTCAAAACACCCAAAAGCTCACCACCTCTAAAGCAGACGCTATCATACCAGACAAAGTCTGGCCTATGAGACAATGTTCTACATATTAATGAAGTAAATGTGATTTGCAGCTGGCTGAGCAAACCTTGCTTCTGCTCCAAAGTTCATTGCGGTCACTTATATAAGAGGGATACACAAACTTTACATGGTCAGATTTGGCGGTGCCATAGTTTTCCATCTCTTCTTTTTGGTTTGTTTGTGACACCATGCCAGAACTCCAGGAATACTCAAGGCACCATTGGGACATAATGCATGGTCTCATATGACTAGCCATGTTCCCTTTCTTGACTCAACAGACATTTTTTTTACTACCGAAGTCAGAAGAAATATTTGTCACTGCCTGGAGAAAAAAAAATGAGCTTTTTAGCTGATTTGTTCCAAAGAGATGTTTATCAGTTTTTAAGCGGGGCACAACATATAAAACCTGACATTAACTGGATGGCATTAGGCTATGGTTAACCATAGAAATGCTGGGAGACTACAGTGATTACAGGATGGTTTCTATTCTCTCAGAGGGTTGTTTGGCTTTTAATGGGTGATTTTTAGATCTAAGAAAATGCCAGGCTACTCTTTAACCTAATTTTAACATCTCTTCTGGAATTCTTCTTTCCTTCCTATTTTAACAGTACTTAAGATTATTTTTCTTTATAAAGTTGATGAACTTGTTCCAATGATCCCCAAAATAAGTTGGGAACGAAATAAAACCCAGGTTTGCTTGATGATCCAGGAAGTGAAGGGGAAATTATGTGTATGTATATGTTTATATGTGTATAGGTACTGTAATTCGTCGCAGGGCTGGGGGGAGGGGAGTGGGGGTAGAGGCAACATTCTGTCCATGAATCTGGGCTAGGTAGGTAGTTGGGTATGTAGGTAGAGAAGAACATGATCTGCGAAATGAGGCATGGATGACTACGTAGGAATGTATCATATACAGCCAACAAGGTAGTTGTCTTTTTAACTTATATATAGTCTTGCTTGTCTTGTCTGTCAATTTGTCTATGTTGTAAAACTTCTTTCAATAAAAATAAATTAAAAAAAAGAAAAGGCCAGGCTAAGTAAGTACAATATTCCTGTACATATTGTGCAGAAATGAGCTCAGACACAATGCTTCCAAGATGTAATGTTTTACACAGAACTTGTTAAAGTTACTTTTTGGACAAGTTATGGAACTACCCAGTCATCATGGCCACCAGATATATGTCTTTATGTCCAGGAAATTACTTTTGTGGGCTACACTTCCCTGAACTTTTGTCCTCAAAATGGCCAAGTTCTGCTTTTATAGCTGTGACTAGCAGAAGAGCCAAAAGACAATATACGAGAGTTGTTAGTTTGTACATGGGATGTATTGTTAAACACATTCTGTGATGTATATTCAATGATGCAAATGCAAGATTCATGTTATTCCCCTCCCTGCAATCACCTGGTGCCAATTGTGAACTAGAAGCACCAATATGCTATTAGTGGTTTTGTTAGCATGCTGGACTGGGATGATCTAGGTTCAGAACCATTGTCCCCACCCAAAATTTGCTGGGTAATCTTGGACCATATCAGTCTGATGTATCTCACAATCTTGCTCTAGGCACAACACAAGGAAGAGGGATGTCTTGTTACTCGTCATCAGCAAACTGGAGGACACGTGGGCTATACATTTTACTAATTACTTAATAACTAATAAATATACACTTTGACCTGGAGTAAGGTAGTTTTCTGTGATATGGCCAAAACCTACAGGGTTGATGGGAGAAAAGAAAGGCAAGAAAGCTTGCTAGCATAAATAAAACATCTTCTCTCTCCCTTCTTGTGCCTACCTAGGCGCAAGCCCAGAGTGCGGGCATACTCCTCTCCAATCCACACCAGCAGTTCTGTATCAGCAGGTATGGTTTGGCAGACCCGGTAGTAGATATAGCCTCGGTGCTGGAAAACGGTGAGGTTCTGCTCATCCTCAGTGGAGGCACATGCCACGTATCTGGAGGGGGGAAAAATCACTCAGGGGTTTAGACATATGTTATGTTTTACTTTCTGGCTGATGTATCAAGTAGTGTAACTACTCTGTACAGCTCAAGTGAGTGGTGAACCCCCAGTCCTCATGCACCTGTGAAATTCTTCTGAACAAGAGTCCAAGTTAGAGGAGGGAGAGGAGGGCAACTCAGCCTATTGTTGGGCAAGAATGGGCAAACCGTGACCAGTGCTTAGTGTACTTTTTAAAGTTCCCAGGGGTTAAAATCCCTTTTTTATGACCTCTACAAGGCACACATATTCTTTGCTTTTTTTCTAAAATTGGAAGTGAATTTTATCCCTTCCAAACCTACTATATGGTATTTTGAAATAATTATTATTTATTTAAGTGACAGTAATGGGTGTGAGTGGCCCACTGAGGTCTCCCGAGGGGCTAATGCAACCCCCAGCCCACCATAATGAATAATCCTATGGCACTAGATTAGAAAGAGAACATCTTAGCCTTAGAACAGCATTTCTCAACCTGGGGGTCGGGACCCCTGGGGAGGTTGTGAGGAGGTGTCAGAGGAGTCAGCAAAGACCATCAGAAAACACAGTATTTTCTGTTGGTCATGGGGGTTCTGTGTGAGAAGTTTGGCCCAATTCTTTCAGTGGGGTTCAGAAAGCTCTTTGATTGTAGCTGAACTATAAATCCCACCAACTACAACTCCCAAATGTCTATTTTCCCCAAACTCCACCAGTGTTCACATTTGGACATAGTGCATATTTGTGCCAAGTTTGGTCTAGATCCATCATTGTTTGAGTCCACAGTACTCTCTGGATGAAGGTGAACTACAACTCCAAAACTCATGGTCAATTCCCACCAAACACTTCCAGTATTATCTATTGGTCATGGAAGTTCTGTGTGCCAAGTTTGGTTCAATTTCATTGTTGGTGGAGTTCAGAATGCTCTTTGATTGTAGGTGAACTATTAATCCCAGCAACTACAACTTCCAAATTACAAAATAAATCCCCACCCCACCAGTATTCTAATTTGGGTGTATCGGGTATTTGTGGCAAAATTTGGTCCAGTGAATGAAAATACATCCTGTATATGAGATATTTACATTACAATTTATAACAGTAGCAAAATTACAGTTATGAAGTAGCTATGAAAATCTTGTCTCCTGCAGTTGCCATCCGTTGGGGACCCCTCCCCCCAGCACCAAGTGTCACTCTGGGCCGGAGTGAAGAAAGGGGGGCCAGGGGACAGTTTCACCTTGTCTCCTGTGCTATTCTAATAATATGTTATAATATAATATATAATATATTGTATATACATATAATATTTATAATATTGTAATGTAATGCAATATAATACTACTAATAATATATTATAATTATATATTTATATTACATGTAATATTACTAATAATATTACAGTAAAATTGATATAGTGCAATATAGCAATATTTAAAACTGATATTGTACTATGTTAATAATATATTGTATGTATATATACCTTGTAAGCCGCTCTGAGTCCCCTTCGGGGTGAGAAGGGCGGCATATAAATGTCGTAAATAAATAAATAAATAAATGAAAATAAGTTTATGGATGGGGGTTGACACAACATGATGGACTGACTTTATTAAGGGGTCACGGCATGAGGAAGGTTGAGAAGCACCTTCTTGACCACACCTGAAAATATCCATGTGGCTATCAAAGGGACATTTGAAACATTAAGCTCCAAGGGTGCAAATTCTTTTACTGCTGTGGGTGAGGCCTCTTCCTCTTAAAATACTCACTTCATCCAGCTGGATCTGGAATCATCCGATGCATCAATAAAGAAATAAGAGCCATTGTCTCGCACCTGAAGAGGGGATGAAACAATCATCAAGTGGAAAAATCTCAAAGCTTCTTCCAGAACTTGGAAAATTGATAGAAAGTAATTATTCCATGCTTTGTTCCCTGCCCTCAGTGGGGTAGAGATGAGTCTAAATTATAAGGTCGAAAGCAAATTGTGTATGTGTCATGAACTGGGTTTTGGAAAAGTTTGCCTATTAGGCTTATCTACTGTACATCCAACCCCCCAAAGCCCTTTCTACTCTCTTAGTTGGGTTTCTAGATAGCCAAGGCCAACAAAGACAGAACTGGTAAAGAAGCGCCATCTACAGTAGATTTGGAAAAATCACTTTAAGCAGGAACAGGATGTTAGGCTTGTACATATACCTTTTTATTGTCTTTAATGGAACTCAAACAATTCTGATGGTGGCATGGATAGAAAAATCTGTGGATGCTCATGTCCCATTATGTAACAATGGCGCAGTAAAATTGTGCCCTTTATATAAAGTGAACCCAATTGGGGGAAATCAGGTAGATAGGAAGATCACTGGAACATACTTTAGAGTCTGGAGTAATTAGTTTTTGGGGAGCTACTACCTATTTTCATGTGGCTTTTCACCTCCTGTTGCCAAGCCTATCTTGGCATAGCTATACCAATGTCATGCAGCATGAAGACATTACCCAAGACACCTGGATAGTACCAGAAGCTGCCTTGCAGGGTTATAGGTTCTCCGAGAACAAACGTCTCTTACCGCCCAGGAATAACGGGTGCAGTCACTGTGTTCTCGGACCACTTCACCTTCATAGGGCCCAAAGATGCAGCCCCGAGGCAGAACTGGGAGAGTGCTCCAGACGCCAAAGCCTCCTTGGAGACGATCCTTAACCACAAGTCCTTCTGGCAGAGAGAGCAAGGCCCGCGACGGAGTCCTTTCTGGAACAGGGGAGTCGGCCACAAAAGTAGGGGGACCATGTTGTGGGCAGGACTCTCGGAAATAAAGGCGGCACTCTTCACAGACTGGAGAAAGGAGAAAAGAGGTGTTTATAGACCTGCTCCTGCTGGACCCTCATGAATCAGTCAAACACTCCACAGGATAGTTGTGAGAATCAAGTGGTGAGAGGTTTGCAAGTACTAGGAATGACCAAAGCGATAGTCCATTAACTTGTGCTGGTAAATAAAATTGCCAATCATCCATAACAAAAAACTTAAAATTGCACTGATATAGACAAAATAAATCAATTGACAAAAACATCATAGCCCAAATTTAAAGACTGAAACAATTTCACATATTTATCAATAACTAGCTGTCCCTGCCATGCGTTGCTGTGGCCCAGTCTGGTGATCTGGAAAATAAAATAATGAGAAAGTGCTGGTTTCTAATATATGTAATGTCCTGATGCTTGTTGTTTCTTTGTCAGTGTTGATGTAGAGATTGTCTGGTTTGCTTACTCTAGAACATGCAACATATAATTGTCCTTCTTTAGGGGTCCTTTTTAAATCTATGATACTATACCTGTGTGTGTGTGAATCATATCTATCTATATCTATGACTGGATAGCTCTTTGTCAGGAGGCCTTTGTTTACGTTTTCGTGCCTGGTGAAGGCAGTTGGACTGGATGGCCTTAAGTATTTTCTGTTGGTCGTGGGGGTTCTGTGTGGGAAGTTTGGCCCAATTCTGTTGTTGGTGAGGTTCAGAATGTTCTTTGATTGTAGGTGAACTATAAATCCCAGTAATTACAACTCCCAAATGTCCCCCAAACTCCATCTGTGTTCATATTTGGACATATGGAATATTCGTGCCAAGTTTGGCCCAGATCCATCATGGTTTGAGTCCACAGTGCTCTCTGGATGTAGGTGAACTACAACTCCCAAAATCAAGACCAATGCCCACTAAACCCTTCTAGTGTCTTCTGTTGGTCATGGGAGTCCTGGTTGCCACGTTTGGTTCAATTTCATCATTGGTGGAGTTCAGAATGGTCTTTGATTGTAGGTGAACTATAAATCCCAGCAACTACAACACTCAAAATGACAAAATCAATTTTTTGGAGTGATGATCACTCCTTGGGTTGTTAGGTGTATTGTGTCCAAATTTGGTGTCAATTCGTCCAGTGGTTTTTGAGTTGTGTTAATCCCACAAACGAACATTACATTTTTATTTATATATAGATTTACAATACAGCAAAACATGTATCAATATTATAGGCAGTCCAAATCTGTCAGTTGTAGATGAATTTAGGAGGGCCAAATATGGTTATGAAATTCAGGGGTGAGAGGGATTAAACAATGTAATGATGGAAACAAAAATACCAGCACATTTTAGCACAAAGGTATTAATTTCACTAACTAACCTAACATGACTTTGGAGCTTTCACATGTCTACTGACCTCCCAAACTAAAACTGTACTCCAACCATTAAGGAGTGTTGACACTGTTTATTCATTCGGTCACTTCCAAATCTTTGTGACCTCATGGACCAGCTCCCTGTTGGCCGTGGCCACCCCCCCAACTCCTTCAGAGTCAAGCCAGTCACTTCAAGGAAAACATCCATCCACCTTGCTCTTGATCGGCTCCTCTTCCTTTTTCCTTCCATTTTCCCCAGAATCGTTTTCTTCTTCAAGCTTTCTTGTCTTCTCATTATGTGGCCAAAGTACTTTGCCTCTAATATCCTACCCTCCAGTGAGCAGTCGGGCATTATTTCCTGGAGTATGGACTGGTTGGATCTTCTTGTGGTCCAAGACACTCTCAGAATTTTCCTCCAATACCACAATTCAAAAGCATCTATCTTCCTTCGTTCCGCCTTCCTTATGGTCCAGCTCTTGCATCCGTAGGTTACTACGGGGAATACCATTGCTTTAACTATGCGGATCTTTGTTGGCTGGTCCATGAGGTCACAAATAGTGTCTACTCTTAACTATTTTATTGAGATTGGTCATTGCTCTCCTCCCAAGAAGCAAACATCTTCTGATTTCCTGGCTGCAGTCTGCATCTGCCGTAATCTTCGTACCTGGAAATACAAAGTCTGTCATTGCCTTCACGTTTTCTCTCTCTGTTTGCCAGTTATCGATCAGTCCAGTTGCCATAATCTTGGGGTTTTTTATGCTTAACTGCAACCCAGCATTTGCACTTTCTTCTTTGACCTTGGTTAGAAGGCTCCTCAGCTCACTTTCAACCATCAAAGTGGTATCATCTGCATATCTAAGGTTGTTAATGTTTCTTCCAGCAATTTTAACTCCAGTCTTGGATTTGTCAAGTCCTGCATGTCGCATGATGTGTTTTGCATACAAGTTGAATAGGTTGGGTGAGAGTATACAGCCCTGCCGTACTCCTTTCCCAATCTTGAACCAGTGTGCTATTCCATGGTCTGTTCTAACTGCTGCTACTTGGGAGCCCTTCCACACAGCCCTATGTTCCAGAATATCAAGGCAGAAAATCCAACATTTTCTGCTTTGAAATGGAATATATGACCTTGAAATTGCAAGGCCATTACATGCTGATCAAGGTGGCCAATTACAACATTCATACCTGCCTCAAGCTGACAAGAGTTCTTTCTCCCAGCCTGGACATTCCACAGATATATAAACCCCATTTTCCTAGTGACCACCAGACCTCACAACCTCTGAGGAGGCCTACCATAAATGCAGGCGAAACATCAGGAGAGAATGCTTCTGGAACGTGGCAATACAGCCTGAAAAATTCACAACAACCCAGTGATTCTGGTCATGAAAGCCTTCAACAATACATTAGTCCTCAAAACATACTGAAGAAGACATAAAGACAGGGTGAAAAAGCGTCACACAGCTGCTCACTTGTGATGAGTAAAAAGCACCTCCTGGTGATCAGTTGAATAGTTTTGCAGTTCTCTTCTTATCTATTGTCATGTCAGGCTAAAAATGGCTCACCCAGGCATCTGTGAGCACTGGAATGATAACATCCAAGGGAAAGAGACTTCTGATATTTGTGACAAGATAGAAATGCCATTTTACTGTTACTCACATAGCAGCTCATCCTCCAAATGGGTGCGAGCGTCCTCAGCTACTTGCATGGCTTGCATTGATGGGCCTGAAACGCAATAGGAAGGAATTACTTGAGCCGAGGCTAGATCCTCCCATTTCCCTCGCTGCTTTGCACCTCCAGAATGTTGAGAATGTTTTCAGAGTGCAAAACCAACAATCTGAGAGGATTCTGGAAATTGCAGTCACGAAAGTAATTGGATTATATGGCAGTAGAGTTGTAGTTTGTTGAGGCACCAGATGGCTATAGACCTTGGGAAAATGACAACTCCCATGATCCCATGGCGGTTAAAGTCATGTTAAACTGCATTAATTCTACAGTGTGGATGCACTTACACTCTGCAGATGAGCTGTCCCAGGACACAGCAAAGTCCCATTGGGAAGTAAGCATCCCTTCCTCCTTTTTGCATGCAAAGTCCCTGCATGTGACACTACATTTATGCACCTATGCTGATCCCCCCATCACAATAAAGAATGAACGCAGTTTGATCCTACTTCAACAGCCATGGCTCAGTGCTATGGAGTTCTGGGAGTTGTAGTGTCCCATGGTATTTAACTTTTCTGGCAAAGAGTGCTGGTGCCTCACCTCACCAAAGCTCTACGTCAGGAGACCTCAAACTATGGCCCTCCAAGGTCATTTACCTGGCCCTAGCTCAGGGTCAACCTAAGTCTGAAACAACTTGAAAGCACACAACAGCAACAACAATCCTATCTCATCAGCCAAAAGCAGGCCTGCACTTCCCACTGAAATACTAATAGTTTATATTTGTTTTAAATCGTTCTTCATTTTAATTATTGTATTGTTTTTAAATGTTTTTTGCAGTACAAATAAGATATGTGCCGTGTGCATAGGAATTCATTTATGCTTTTTTCAAATTATAATCCGGCCCTCCCACAGTTTGAGGGACTGTGACCTGGCCCCCTGTTTAAAAAGTTTGAGGGCCCCTGCTCTAGGTGCTCTTACTGCCTATGACAGGGGAAACCAGCTGATTCCTAATCCATCTAAAACACAGACATGTGCTTTTCACCTTAAGAACAGGAGCCCCCGGTGGTGCAGTGGGTTAAGCCCCTCAAATCAAATAATTTATTTCGGTCATAGACCAGCACAGGAAATAAGTCACAGTTCCATACAAACTTGGTACGTTTAGTACATTAAAAATATAAATATAAATACTGAAGCACAATAGGGGCGAGGGAGCGGAAGGGGAAACGGTAAAAATATACAATGCACAGGTCCATCAGCAAATTATAGATTCAGGGAAGATGATTACTGGGCACACAGTTAACTTTTGGGACTAGTCATCCCCTGATGGATTTTGTATGCTGCTGCACAGAATTTTGCAGTTAAACCCTGTGCCAGTAGGACTGAAGACCAACAGGTTGTAGGTTCAAATCCGGGGAGAGCAAGGATGAGCTCCCTCTATCAGCTGCAGCTCATCATGCGGGGACATGAGAGAAGCCAAAGATGGTAAAACATCAAAACATCTGGGCAACGTCCTTGCAGACGGACAATTCTCTCACACCAGAAGCGACTTGCAGTTTCTCAAGTTGCTCCTGACACGACCAAAAAAACCCCCAAAACCTTAAGAACAGACAAGCATTTTGCACTCTGGGGATTACCTGGGAAGGAATCCCACTGGAGCATTGCAGCACACCCAAATACCTAGGAGTTACCCTGGACCGTGCTCTGACCTACAAGAAGCACTGCCTGAATATCAAGCAAAAAGTGGGTGCTAGAAACAATTATTGTTATTTATTTAGAACTTTTATAACCCGGTCTTCTCAACCTCTGAAGAGGGACTCAGGCCAGCTAACAACAGAAAATCCATACACAAATAAACTAATAACACAATAACATCATAACACATTAAAATACAAACCAAATAAATACATAAAGCCAGATCGTCAAGATAAAATCACAATATCCTACGAAAGCTGACAGGCACAACCTGGGGATCACAACCAGATACAGTGAAGACATCTGCCCTTGCACTATGCTACTCTGCTGCTGAGTATGCATGTCCAGTGTGGAGCTGCAGGCTATTGAAGACTGCTCTGCCCCCTGCTGTGCTCTTTGCTTCAGTGTGAGCTAGGAGGCAGGTTTCAACCCCCCCCCCTACTGAATATGCATGTCTGGTGTGGAACACATCTCACCACGCTAAAGCAGTGGATGTGGCTCTTAATGAGACATGCCGCATTATCACAGGGTGGCTGCGCCCTACACCACTGGAGAAATTACACCGTTTAGATGGTATTGCACCACCTGACATCTGTTGGGAAGTATTATTATTATTATTATTATTATTATTATTATTATTATTATTATTATTAGTCGTGTCAGGAGTGACTTGAGAAACCGTTGGTAAGTAGCAACCAGTAATGAAAGGACCAAGACAGTGAAATCTCTGGCCCATCCCTTGTTTGGATATTCCAACGTGCCTTCTCAGATTAGGAACCCCACTACCAAAGCCCAGAAGCACTTTAGTAGAGTCAAGTTCACCCTCAACGCACACCGCACTTATACTTTAATCTCATATCCCCCCGACACTTTTTCAGCACTTTTAACCCTGTACCCCACTTCAGCCGGCTCAGTTTTTAATAATGTCCTGTTGTATTGTTATTGCTGTTGTTTTCTGCTTTAACTGTTTTATTTGCTATATATTGTATTGTTGTATTGTGTTGTGTTGGGCTCCGGCCTGTTGTAAGCCGCATCGAATCCCTGTGGGAGATGCTAGCGGGGTACAAATAACGTTTAATAAATAATAATAATAATAATAATAATAATAATAATAACAACACAGTGATTCAGTCTTATTAGCAAATCGACAGGAACATCTCAGCAAGTGAGAGTCCAAAAGTGGCAGACTAGAACTGGAAACCTCAATCAGTGGCTGATACCAGATGAAAAACTCCGCCCTGGGCACACAAAAGACTGGGCGACTTAGAAGGCGCTGAACAGGCACCACGAGATGCAGAGTCAACCTTAAGAAATGGGGCCACAAAGTGGAGTCCACGGCATGCGAGTGTGGAGAAGAGCAAACCACAGACTACTTGCAACAAGGGAGGACCTTCTTATAGCAACACCAGATGCATTTAATATAATGCCAATTTTTCAAACTTTGTGTTTTTTTAAATACAATACAACTGTACCCTTGGTTTCCCCCCTAATATGATAAATAAAGAACCAAACTACAAACCCCAGGATGCCACAGCATTGAGCAATGGCAGTTAAAGCGGTGTTAAACCGCATTGATTCTGCAGTGTGGATGCAGCCATGGCTGATAGCCCATCTCTCCCCATTGCACCCCTCCTTCCTTCCTTCCTTCCTTCCTTCCTTCCTTCCTTCCTTCCTTCCTTCCTTCCTTCCTTCCTTCCTTCCTTCCTTCCTTCCTTCCTTCCTTCCTTCCTTCCTTCCTTCCTTCCCTTCAATGCCCTGCTTGGGTGGAGCTGGATCGATGCTGCTGCGGCAATTCCTCCGGACGACGGGGCGCCTTTGTGGGAGGGAGAGAAGGAAGGAGGGGTCGCGACGGATGAAAGGAAAGAAAAGAGGGAAGAGCACTGGCTGTTTGAAGCCAGTCCCCGGAAAGCGCACCTGTCCAGCTAGGAAACCCCGCTCTCATCCGCGGCCACCATCCATCTGAACACCAAGCCTGCTGCAGACACCTTCTCTACATCAGTGACACCTTTCCCAAACACTCCGCCAATCAGAGCTCATCTGCTCAACGTTGCAGCCAATAAGAGCCTTGCCGGGGGTGATAACCTTAAACCAATAGGGGGACCTAGTAGGCAAGGAAATTTCTCTCGCCACTCCCAAAGGCGGGGCTTTGTACAGTCGTAGCCAATGAATTCACGGGATTCATTCCACTGTGATAATGGAGTGCCTGTTGTTCAAGCATTCTCCAGCCGGGAGGGGGCGGGTCCATAGAGTAGCGTGGGGACCAATAGGAGAGGAGATATGTCAAAGCGGAGAGGCGTGCACTGGACTTCGACTCCCAGAAGCCTCAGCTGCCTCAACCAATGCTCAAAGATTTTGGGAGATGTAGTCCAAAACGCTTAAATGCCCAGAGTTTGGGAATTCTGTAGAATTAATGCACTGCTATGGCATCATTTTTTTTATAGGAGCCCCCGGTGGCGCACTTGGTTAAAGCACTGAGCTGCTGAGCTTGTTGATCGAAAGGTCGCAGGTTCGATTCCGGGGAGCGGCGTGAGCTTCCGCTGTCAGCCCTAGCTTCTGCCAACCTAGCAGTTCGAAAACATGCAAATGTGAGTAGATCAATAGGTACCGCTCCGGTGGGAAGGTAACGGCGCTCCATGCAGTCATGCCGGCCACATGACCTTGGAGGTGTCCACGGACAACGCTGGCTCTTCGGCTTAGAAATGGAGATGAGCACCACACCCCAGAGTCAGACATGACTGGACTTAATGTCAGGGGACTACCTTTGCCTTTTTATGGCATCATTTTAATCAGCCATGGTTACAAAGTGGAATCCACGATATGCGAGTGTGGAGAAGAGCAAACCACTGACCACCTGCTGCAATGCAACCTGCCACATGCACCATGGAGGACCTTCTTGCAGCAATACCAGAAGCACTCCAAGTGGCCAGATACTGGTCAAAGGACATTTAATCAACCACCAAACTCACAAATTATGTATTTTGTCTGTTTGCTTTGTTCTGTTAGACATGTAATATAATTGAATGGTTGCCCTGACACGACAAATAAATAGCCATGGTTTAATGCTATGGGATCCTGGGATTTGTAGTTTAGTGAAGCATAAGGAATATTTCAGCAGAGATGGTGGAGCCCCCGGTGGCACAGTGGGTTAAACCTTTGTGCCGGCAGGACTGAGGACTGACAGGCTGCATGATCGAATGTGGGAAGGGACGCGGATGAGCTCCCTCCGTCAGCTCCAGCTCCCCACTGGGCCTCCCCTTGGCAACGTCCTTTCAGACCGCCAATTCTCACTTTATCAAGTCTCTCCTGACACACACACAAAAGCAGAGACAGCTAAAGACCTTGTGAAACTATAACTCCCAAGATTCCATAGTATTATAGAATCATAGAGTTGGAAGAGACAGACCTTGTGAGCCATCCAGTCCAACCCCCTGCCAAGAAGCAGGAAAATCGCATTCAAAGCACCCCCAACAAATGGCCATGTTCTAGAGGCATTTCTCCTGACGTTTCGCCTGCATCTATGGCAAGCATCCTCAGAGGTAGTGAGGTCTGTTGGAACTAGGAAAAAGGGTTTATATCTGTGGAATGACCAGGGTGGGACAAAGGACTCTTGTCTGCTGGAGCTAGGTGTCAATGTTTCAACTGATCACCTTGATTAGCATTTGATTGCCTGGCAGTGCCTGGAGCAATCTTTTGTTGAGAGGTGATTAGATGTCCTTGTTTGTTTCCTCTCTGTTGTGGTGCTGTTCTAATTTTAGAGTTTTTTAATCCTGGTAGCCAGTTTTTGTTCATTTTCATGGTTTCCTCCTTTTTGTTGAAATTGTCAGGGCTTTTGACAGTGGTATTCCATGAATTCACAGGATTTATTCGTATCAAAAAATTATTTCGTATCAAAAATAGGAGCGCAGGTGGCTAAGTATCTTTTGACCAAAAGTGGGCAACAGCAATGACATTGTCTGTAGCCTCCAACAATTCTTCCTCTGTACATGAGGCAGGGCATACTGGACAAGCATACAGATGTGGAGTTGTCTGTTCTGCTCCACAGTCACACAAGGTTTGGGATTTTTTTAGGTAGTACCATTTTGCCAGGTTGTCTTTTGATCTGCCCACTCCACTTCTGAGTCTGTTCAGGGACTTCCAAGTTGCCCATTCTTGGTTTGCCCCTGGAGGAAGACCCTCGCCGGGTGAGGGGGGGATCCAACTGGGATTTCCTGGTTTAGCTGCCAGAGGGATACCCTTGCTGTTGCTGGGGGGACGCCAAGAGGAGTGGTAGTTCTCATAAAGCTTTTCCTTGATTTGAGTCTACTGGGAGGAGGCTGGTAGCCATGTAGTGTGGCTTTCACAGTGTTCAACCTTATTTCTCTCACATTTAGCAGCAACTTCCCATTGCACATTTGGGGGGGGGGGGGCAATGCCAGCTAGCTTGTAGAGTTTATCAACAGGTGTAGGTTTAAGACATCCTGTGATTATTCTGCATGTTTCATTCAATGCTATGTTCACCTGCTTTGCATGGGCAGACCTATGCCAAACAGGGCAGGCATACGTGGTAGTTGAGTAAGACAAGACTAGGGTTGATGTTCTTACTAATTTTGGGTCTGTACCCCATGTGCTGTCAGTAAGTTTCCACAGGATGCTATTGCGTGCAGCAACTTTGTGCTTGGTGTTCAAGCAGTGTTTCCTATATGCTAGTGTTCGATCTAAGGTCACACCAAGATATTTAGGATGGAAACAACCTTGACCTTCCCAGGTGACTTTCAATTTCCTGTTGGCTTCGCGGTTGTGTAGGTGGAAAGCACACACTTGTGTCTTGGCAGGGTTAGGTTTCAGGTGATTATCTTTGAAGTAGCTGGAGAGATCTTTCAAGGCATTAGTAAGTTGGATTTTGACTGTTTCAAAGTCTTTTGTTTGTGTTGTTAGACAAAGGTCATCAGCATATATGAAGCTCTTTGTGAGTGGTGGCTGATCGTTAGTGAAGATATTAAACAAGGTCGGTGCAAGAACGCTGCCTTGGGGTAAGCTATTATTTTGCTTCCTCCATCTACTTTTCCAGTCTTGAAACTCCACATAGAAGCTACGTTTTCTAGAAGTCTGGATAGTTTTTGTAAAATCATAGTCTCGGGTAATATGGTAGACTTTCTGCAGCATTTTCCTATGTTGCACCATGTCATAGGCTGCTGTAAGGTCGACAAAAACTGTTCCAGTAATGCAACCTTTCTCATATCCTTCCTCGATGTACTCAGTCAGATTATGAATTTGGGCTATACATTTTTTTCCTGATCTGAAACCTTTCTTGTACAATAAGCTGGGGTTCAATAATGGGTCCTAATCGATTTAGTAGCATCCTCTCATATACTTTATATAGATGAGTGAGAACAGGAGTCAGAATGTTTTTTTTTAAACATTCCACTCTGATGGAGTGCATGATGTTCAAGCATTCTCTGGCTGGGACCAAAGAGCAGCGTTGGGACCAATAGCAGAGGAGATCTGGCAAAGCAAAGAGGCAAGCTTTGTACTTCGACACCCAGAAGCCTAAGCGGCTTTGGCCAATGTTCAGGGATTGTGGGAAAAGGTTCTGTGAGGCTAAAGAGGGAAAGCTGCTCAGCATTCACTTTCAGCCTCCAAAATTTCAAGCAATCACCTTGAAATAAAGGTATCAAACTTTCTATAATGCTGTTCAGATGAAGCAATAAGCAAAGCCCATGGTAAGGGTTAATTTTTTTAAAAAAGAAATCTGGATACATCTTGGGACTCAGCAGACAATACAATGAGCCAGCATGGTTTAGTGCAGGCGTCCAGGTAACATTCCCTCAAACTGTTGGAGGGCTGGATTATAATTTGAAAAAACAATGAATTCCTATGCACACTGCACCTATCTTATTTGTACTGCAAAAAAAAAAAAACCCCAATTAAAAACAATACAATAATTAAAATGAAAAACAATTTTAACAAATATAAACTTATTAGTATTTCAATGGGAAGTGTGACCAGCTTTTGGCAGATGAGAAAAGATTATTGTTGTTGTTGTGTGCTTTCAAGTCGTTTCAGACTTAGGTTGACCCTGAGCGAGGGCCGGGTAAATGACCTTGGAGGGCCATATGTGGCCCTTGGGCCTTAGTTTGAGGACCCCTGGTTTAGTGGCTTGAGCGTTAGACTTCAACTCTGGAGATAAGAGTGCTCCCTGGAACATACAAAAAAGATATACAATATAAAATATGGGGACTCCATTTCTCCTTTTTTTAAAAAAAATAAATTTATTTACATACATAAACAGAACATGAAACACGTAAGCTGACCATGGCCTGAACAAGTATTTTCTTTTTCCCTCACAGAAGCCGAGCCTGGTTCAGGAGGGGGAGGAGGAGGAGGGGAACGATGATGGTAAGGCGCTGGGAGCAGCCAGGCCTCCCTCCAGCGCAGAAGGAGCACCTCAGGATGTTCTCCTCAGGAGGAGAAGGAGGCGACGATGACGACCCCTCTGGCAGAGAAGGAGCCCCTCAGGATGTTCTCTTCAGGAGGAGGAGGGCGATGACGATCCCTCTGGTTCATCTGCAGAAAAAAAGACATTTTAATATATTTTGTATAACTTGTAATGTCAAAAGAGCACAGAGTGACAGTGGCCTCCCTTTTCTGTGCTTGTGTGCCCTCTAGTGAACTCTATTCTCTCCTCACTCCTTCCCATGAGAGGGCTTTTCACCAGCTGACCACTCTCTACATTCTGATTTTAATTATCAAAAATATTTTAATTATCAAAATATGTATATCACAATATATATTTGTATACTGTATACGTGGTCCCTAGAATCATAATCTAGGTAAAAAAAAAAATCAATTTTATCTGCAGTGTATAACCTGAGCATCCTTTATCCAGAATTCCACAATATTCCACGCTGCAGCCACCCTCCATGAGTTAGGTCCTGCCCCCTCACCTTGACACTTGTATAAAGCAAAGCCCCGCCCCTTCCAAGGGATTCCCCCCTTCCCATTCTCTTGTTCCTTGCTTCAAAGGAAGCCCCACACCTTTAGGTGAGGCTCCTCCCCCTTTTCCCCTTGCCACTTGCATAGAGCCAAGCCCCGCCCCTCCAAGCAAGGTTCTTCCCATTCCATGTGAAAAAGCAAACCCCATCAGCAAGGGGAGAGAGGGGGGGGAGGAGGTGGTGTTGTGCATGCATGCTTACCTGAAAAGCCGAGAATGAATCCTGGCTTGCATCCAGGGCAGTGTTGGAGAGGCGGCGGGCCGGCAGATGTCTGGGAGGTAGGGGCGGGTCTCCGGGCCCTAGATGTTGGCTGCTGGGCGGGGAGGAGGGGGCAGGGAGGGGGATTACTGGCAGCACCCCCTCCTCCGCCTCCCCAACAGGAGGGCCCGGAGTGCCGCCTGCGGGCACGGCCACCGCCTCCCTGGCCTGGCTCCACTTCTGGGGAGAAGGAGGGGTTGGAGGGGGCCCTGCTTCTGCATGGGGTTCTGTCAGGATAATTGCAAATATTATATGTATGTTTATCAATGTGTTAATTGATCTGGAAACCTCAAGTACTCTGTGCATGACCCAGGTGTCTCACTCTGACAATATGGTTATGGGCCCAATCCTCAGTGTCTGACAGAAGTCATTGGAGGTTTACCAAGAAACAGACTTGCAAGCTTGCTGCCGGAGCCGTGGAGTTTAACCCAGTTGACTCGGGAGGCTGCCGGCGCATGGAAACTAGAACAGCCTGATTGAAAGCAGAAGCAAAGAAAGAGGTTTGCCATGGCTGTATAGGGGAGGGGAAGAGCAGGGGGTGCTGTGCATGTGTACTTACCTGAAAAGCCTGGTGGGAGTTGACGGCGGGGTCAAGGGCGGTGTTGGTATAGGGGCAGGCCGGCGGATGTGTGGCAGGAGGCGGTGGGTCTCTGGGCCCCAGGTGTTGGCTTCCGGCCGGGGGAGAGGGGAGGAGGGGGCGGGGAGAATGATGACGGGAAGCACCCCCTCCTCCGCCTCCTTCCCCGCCAGGAGGGCCCGGAGACGCCCCTGTGGGCACGGCCGCCGCCTCTCTGCCCTGGCCCCGCTTCCATTACCCCCTTCCGAGGGACGGCCCAGGCAGGGCTGGGCCCCCTCTGCCTCCCTCCTCCTGGGGAGCAGGAGGGGTTGGAGGGGGTCCTGCTTCATAAGGCAGGGGCCCCCATGTCTTGCTTGGCCCCTTGGAAGGGCCCCCCCAAGGGCAACAAACTCCTTTGCCCTGAGGAGTAGGGGCTTTTGGGGGGCCTGGCCCCCTCCTTTTGTGCCCGGAGGAGGGCCCGCCTCTCCTCCACAAGCCCCTGCCTTCGTGGGCTGATTGCCCACAGGGGGCGCCTTACATCACCATTACACAACATGTCTATACTCTCTATACCCAAAGGCCTAGAGTAAAGCTCACTGGGGGGCAGAGGGGTTAGGGGCACTGGCTGTGATGCAGGCAAGGGGCATTGTGACATGGACTTTGCGCATCTTACAAACGGAACAAAGCCCAATAACAACAAAGTTAACCTGCAAGGAAGGTCCCTCCCATTCCATGTGAAAAGGCAAACCCCACCAGCAAGGGGGGGGGGGGCAACGGAAGGGGAAGGGAAGAGCAGGGGGTGCTGTGCATTTGTACTTACCTGAAAAGCCTGGAGGGAGCTGACGACAGGGTCCAGGGCGGTATTGGTAAGGCAGCGGGCCGGCGGATGTGTGGCAGGAGGGGGCAGGTTTCTGGGTGGGGAGGAGGGATGGAGAGGAGGATGACTGGAAGCACCCCCTCCTCCGCCTCCCTCCCCGCCAGGAGGGCCCGGAAAGGCCCCTGCGGGCACGGCCGCCGCCTCCCTGCCCTGGCCCCGCTTCGATGATCTCCTTCCGAGCGGCAGCCCAGGCAGGGCAGGGCCCCCTCCGCCTCCCTCCTCCTGGGGAGCAGGAGAGGTTGGAGGGGGCCCTACTTCTGAAGGTAGGGGGTGCCATGTCTTTCTTTGCCCCCTGGAAGGGCAACGAATTCTTTTGCCCTGAGGAGCAGGGGCTTTTGGGGGCCCTGGGCCCTCTCCTTTTGTGCTTGGAGGAGGGCCCGCCTCTCCTCCACAACCCCTTGCCTTCGTGGGCTGGGGGCCCACAGGGGACGCCTGACACAAGGAACTTCTCCAGACATCCTGCTCTCTCTCTATAAGAAAGGCCTAGAGTGAGGCTCATTGGGGAGCAGGGTTGTTAGGGGCACTGGCTGTGATGCAGGCGGGGGGGGGGGGGGGGGGGGGGGGGGGGGGGGGGGGGGGGGGGGGGGCATTGTGACATGGGGCCCTTCCTCTGAGCCTGAGGTTGTGCCCTCTAAGCCACACTCATAACAACAACAGCAGCAGCAACAACAGAAACAATTTTGTTTTTATGACCTGCCACCATCTCCCCGAATGGACTTTTGAGCAGCTTACAAGTGGAACAAAGCCCAATAACAACAAAGTTAACTAAGTTAAAACACATTGAAAAACATAATAAACACATGGCAATCTAATTAAATAATTCAAACAGTAGAGTATAAAAACACCATTAAAATAAATCAAATCCAACCTCAATAACCAGAACCAGGAATATGGTGGGCAGATCAAAATTAGAGAGGGCTGGGCATGTGCTTCTGCAAAAAACAGGTTACAGGGCCAGGGCTGGGGTTAAAGTGCAGAGTTCAAGCTGACGATGAGTGAGGACTGGGCAATCATAGACAGGAGCCTAACCATTATCAAATGAATATTGGAACCTCCATATTTTGAGCTCCCCACAGAAGAGAAACAGACAGACAGAGTGGGTGCTAGCCTAATCTCCCTGGGGTGGGAGTACCAGAGCATGAAGGCACCTCTGAGAAGGCCCTCTTTCTCCCTCGTCCCCACCAACCATGCTTGTGATGCTGGCGGGATCGAGAGAAGGGCTTCCAACAACGAGAGTACGCTGGCAATGCTGCCCTAGCAAAGGAAAAACCACTCTGGCACAGAGAAAGAGGCGGAGAAAGGGGCGGAGAGAGAGGTGCAGTCTCATGACGTCATGGACGTGCTCGCACAGTTTGCTCCCGCAGGAGGCTAGTTTGCGACGGATCTTAGGATCTATGCCGGTTCATAGGGGAAAATGTGGTTGCGAAGATAGGCAGGACCCGAACCTTTTAGGGCTTTGTAAGTGATAACCTGCACTTTGAATTGGGACTGGAAACTTATCAGCTGCCAGTGGAACTGTTTTAATAGGGTGTCGCCCACTCCCTATCATTTGCTCCAGCTAGCAACCGGTTAGCACACAGTCATTATGAAGTGCAAGTCTCTACGGCTTTGCCATGGCCTTCCTCTGAAGCTGAGAGAGTATTGCTCATCCTCAAACCACCTCATCACACTGAGAAATTTTCCCTTGGTAGGGCACTCCGGCCTCTTTTCAAGCAGGTTTCCAGCAGAGGTCTGCTATGGCCTTTCTCTGAGGGCGAGAGAGTGCGATTTGCCCAAGCCCCCTCGTTTATAGTTTATCATTGATGCATAGTATGAAATAAACTGTCTTTGGTTGCCCTTGTGGTTGTCTGTGGCCTGGTGTGTCCGCCTCTCTGGGAGGGTCTGCCAGGAACCGACCTCGGCTGCATCCTGCCAATTTCTGTTTCCTCCTGAAATGTATTTTCCATAACAGATGGAAGAGACTTTTGTGCATTTTTTGTCAATTTGGAAGCGAATTTGGAGAGACACAATTTGGTATAGTTTTATTGTGCAGATCCTGCTTTGCAAAATATGTATAGAGTAGAGGTCCCCAAACTAAGGCCTGTGGGCCAGATGTGGCCTTCCAAGGTCATTTATCTGGCCCTGCCCTAAACTTTAGTCTTTGGGTTGCACTAAGTCTGAAGCGACTTGCAGGGAAACAACCACAACAATCCTAATTCACCAAAAACAGGCCCACACCTCCCATTGAAATACTGGCAAGTTTATGTTGGTTCAAATTGTTCAAATTGTTCTTAATTTTAAACATTGTATCGTTCATCATCATCATCATCATTATTATTATTATTATTATTATTATTATTATTATTATTATTATCTTTATTTATCTTTATGTACCCCGCTAGCATCTCCCGTAGGACTCGATGCAGCTCACTCGATGTGGCTCATGTTTCTGTGCAGTGTGCATAAGAATTTGTTCATTTTTTTTTCACACTATAGTCCCCCACCCCACCCACACACACACACAAACACACACAAACACACATGCACAGCCTGAGAGCCTGTGAACCAGACCTCTGCTTTAAAGACAGCTTCTGCTTCAGGCTGTATCTGTTCTATAGAATTGACACCATTTGAGATCACTTTAAACAATATATATATCGAGAGAGAGAGAGAGAAGAGAGAGAGAGAGAGAGTTGTGATTTATAAGTTTTAAAGAGTTTAAAGGGGAACGGAAAAGAAACATTCATCTAATGGGATTAAGCAATGCTGCAAGTTATTTCAGAGGCCAGAGCTCAGTCTCAGGCTTCTGGAACAACAAAGCAGTTTGGGAATTTGGGGATGCTGAGTCACAGAATTTGCTCATTCAGTGCAGGATGAAGTTGGAAATGGGTTCAAATCACACACACACACAGTTGATCTAAGGTTGAAAGAAGTTCTACTGTTAAATAAAGGCTTTACATTTGAAAGGTTTACATTGATGTTGGGGAAACGTACAAATGGGAAAATGTGGTTCCTTTATGGTTTTAATTAAATAACTTATGGAAATGTAAGGGAAACGTGATACAGTAGTGGTTTAGTAAATGAAACATTTTGGATACCTTAATTTGGGTTCAGATACATAGATTTTTAAAGGAAATAAAACAAAAAATGGTATAAATGGTATATGGGTTACAAACATGGGAAGTCAAAAGAAATATGATCTATTTGAAAGTTGTTGATGAGAAATAAAATTAAATAAAGTTTTGCTATGGAAATGTAATGAAAATGAACAAAGAAGGAAACATTTGGGAACAACATGGTTTTAGATGTGCATATGAAGGTTTTTACATAATTGATGAAATGTTTTCAAAGTTTACATGTGATAATGGTTCATTCAACTGTAATGATGATGATATTGTTACTTGTAATTGTGAAAATGTATTTCTGGTTTAAGAAAATGAGATTTTGATACAACTGAAAAATTAGAAGTTACTTTACTATATGATGCATATAGATTTCAAAATGAAATGTATATGCAAGAGTGGGAATGTTACAAGAAATTCAATGTGCAGATTTGACAAATATGAATTTAATATGATGTATGGGAATGAATGGAAGAATGGAAGGATGTGTGGTTGGAGTTAATAATTTTGGAAACACCAGTATAATATTAAGGCCTGCAATGACTAACTACCTGCTTGCTGGAACTGTGATCAAAACCTGCTAATGAGAATTGATAAGAACTGTGACAATGGTTTTTTCAAGTTAAGGAAATGTTTGCAACATTCCTTATGTTAAGAAGGAAGTCAACATAAGATCAGCACCAATCAAGAAGATCAACATCTGGCCAGGAAACTGAGATGGATCCAGGATGGAAGATGTCTATCATTAATTTACAACTTTGGGACTACATCAACAGAATATTCCTATAAAAGACTCAGTCTAATAATGCTCAAATGGTGGCAGACTGAGGAGTCTGTTCCACCCGCCATGCTCTGCTCCATGGGAAGGAGAGAGATAGTGTACCTATGGAGAGTGGCAGATTTGCAAGGAAGGAGTCTGGTCACTTTGGGGCTTCTTTCTCAAGGGAAGAGGAAGAAATGCGCTTTTGGAGTCTTAGATTTTGTGCAGGGAGTCAGGTTCTGCTGTATGGAAAACAGAGGTCTGGTCCTTGGCATTGTGCTTAGGAAAAGGATGCATTTGGCGTTATGGAAGTTATGGCATTATGGAAGTTATGGAACTATACGTTGGCAGGCTGCAGAAAACCAGGGTCTGGCTTAACAGGTGCTTCTCCAAGGAGGGAGAAAAGGATATGGTAATATTTTGGATGCATGAGGGTGAATTCGTGTACATGTGGTGTGAATGTTGAGTGAAAATGTAATTCCCCTTTCTTTGTTAACCAATGTAATTGTAAATCCAATGTAGTTGCATAGAATCTGTATGTCTGTATGTCCAATGTCCTTCTTTGTCTAAATGTT